GTCTCCTGAGTCTGGTCCCTGGATGCTTCTTGGCCAGTGTCTTTGGAAGGTAGGCAGGTGAGGGATGGACACCTGCTGCTCTGGCCCAGAGTCTGACTTGACCGTGACCACTTCTCCACAAGACTTAATAACAGGAGAACGGCTCTGTCTGCCCAGTCAGGGTGTAGGAGGAAGGCAGCGATGGGGAGCAGCTGAGACAGTGCGGACAGCTGGCTGGGATCAACACCTGCTCACATCCAGATGATTACAGGAGCCATATTCTGTATGAGAAACTAGAGAGAAGAAAACAATTGTCTTAAACCTACTGATCCCTTCAGCTTGGTTTCCCCTCCACTCTCCTTTTGGTAGATGGAGGAATTTATTTCATTTTTATCTTAACTCTTGTCTAAGAAAGAAAACCAGCAGTTTGTTGGTGCTGCTGTGACCACAAGTTCAGTGGCTTTAGAGGAAAGGAGAGGAGAGAATTGTCTCCGTTTTGGTGGCCAGGAATCTGAACGCAGGTTGACTGGACAGGAGGGTTGTCAAGTCCAACTCAGAGCATCTGCTCGAGGGATATTCCTTTTTTACTCCAGTGACCTTCTTGGCATTCTTTGCCTTGTAGCTAGATCCTCACTTGACCTCTTGTTCAGAAGAGAATAGGTTCAGGACCCAACTATTCTCATATGGCCTCATTAATATAGGTCGTATAGCCCTGGTGTATAAGTCGCCGTACCACAGTCACTTTTGGTTGCTGTGAGGCTGAACACTGTGACACTGGTGTGTCAAACGCATTAATGGTTGGCTACCCAAAGCGGACAGAGTGGGGTGGAGCTCCCCAATTAAAACAAGCTTGGAATGAGGAGTGGCATCCACTTCCATAATAGCTTGCCTCCGGAAACCCTATGAACCTGGAGAGAGGATGAAAAACACCCAAGTGTCGAGGACTTTCCTTCATCGGGTCGCTATGAATCGCCTGTGACACATCAGCACTTAACAACAACAAACAACGTGTTCACATCAAGAAAACATTTCTCACCATTGGGCAGATTGGCAGTGTTATGATAGATGGTGGTGAGATTGAGACTGTTAACAGCTTTCGTTTGCTTGGCCTTGCAGTTAACACTCTTGGTACCAGCAGCCAGGAAATCAAAAGATGAATTGCACTAGGAAAGTCTGCTGTCAGGGACCTCTCCAGAATTCTGAAGATAACGTCCATCTGGAGACTAAGATGCGCCTGATCCGGGCCATAGTCTTCACAATTACTTGCTATGCATCAGAAAGCTCAACAATGACTAGGGATGATAGAAAGAATTGATGCCTTTGAGCTGGGGTGCTGGAAAAGAGTGCTGAATACACATCATGGACTGCCAGGAGAACAAACAGGTTTGCTTTGGAGAAAGTGATACCAGGCTGCTCCTTGGAGGCAAGGATTCTGAGGCTTCGTCTGACATGCTTAGGGCATGTTGCAAGGAGGGACCAGTCTTTGGAGAGGGGCATCGTACTCTGAGGGGTGGAGGGATAGTGCAAGAGAGGAAAGACCCTCAGTGAGATAGATTGATTCAGTGACTGGAGCAATGGGGTAGGTGTGTCAGAGACAGTAAGATTGGCACAGGATAAAGCATGTTTCAGGGGCATTGTACATGAGTTTACTATGAGTAGTAAGCAACTCAACAGGCATATAACAACAACGCAGTATGTTCACACTCATAGGTACAGGAGTTAGAACTTAGTATCTTTTGCTTGGAGAATACAATTCAATTCCCAATAGTATATGGGGCAGTTGATACTTGGAAAACTAATGGATTGACATAAAATTAATTCTGACTCATTGCAACTCATTGAGCTGGAGTAGATCTGCCCCGTTGAATTTCCAAGGTTATAGAAGTAGACAGTAGTTACAGTTATGTATACAACTGCTTTCTTACATATATAGAAGAAACAACACTGTGGAATTGCTGGTGCATTTTAACAAATCTTTTTAGCAGTCAAGCATTTTAACCACTGCCACAGATCGTGCTCTTGGGGGGACCAGGTATTAGAGAATGGTGAGAACTAAGCAAAGTGTCCCATTACTCAGTTCCTGCCAATCATTGCCAAAGGGCAACTTCAAGAAAAGTTGAAAGCCAGATTTGTGTGTGGGTAGCTACTGATTTTAAATTTTGACCGTTCATTAACAAATAGTACACAAACACAGACACACAGGTGTATACAGTTGATCATTCTTGATTTGAATGTAGATTTTCTATTCAAAAATTCATCCATGTCTTCACTGAAAACATTCATGGAACTTTCAGAGTTGTTCTCAGCTGAGGTAGGAGAAGGCTCACCGAGTATGTTTGTGATGAGGACTTTATAGAACATTAACTAGTACAGATAACAGTCAAATGTGTGTACATGTATGTGCCGTGTAACATCCTTTCTGCGGATGTCACTGTGGTCCCATAAGATGTCCACACTTCCTGCCCCACTCCCGCAACCAGAAAGGATGGAGATACTGGCTAAGCAGAGCTAGCTGGCCACATGGGAGGGTAGGAAACGTGGGAGAGTAGGTAGGAGAGAATGCTCTCCCCGGGGCCTTCGTGTGGACTGGCCACCCCACCCTCATCCGTATGAACTTCTGGTTCTAGATGAGCTTTGAGCTCTGGGCTGAGGCCTTGACCGCAGGAGCTGCAAGCGAAGGGCTTCTCACACATGTGGGCCCACAGGTGCCGGAAAAGGTGGAAGCGCCACCAGCAGGCTTGCTGCACTGTGGCACCCTGGGTCTTCTCACCTGGGGGACGCTGCTGTGCTCCTTTGTGTGTTGCTCTGGATGAAGGCCTTCCCTGCTGGCCGCAGGTATGCATCCCTGTGTGTGTGCGCCGTCGCTGAGGCCGGCACTCGGACTGAAGATGTCCTGGCTGCACTGGTGGGGCTTCTCACCATTGTGGATGCACAGGTTCTGGGAGGCATACGAGCTGTGGGTTGAAGGCTTTGCCTCACTGGCCGCATTCTCACCTGTGTGGATGCACCATTGTTTAAGCAGTGAACTGCACTTGAACCTCTTGTCTCAGGTCTATATTATGCTTCCTGCCCGCCCTGTGCGCCACCCTCCCACCCCCTGAAGCCCTTACCCAGGCCGACTCCACTGTTCAGGGTCCGTGGGGCTTCCTGCCCCAGAACCATCTTTTCTGCATGTAAGGCACAACCTTTGGTGGCTGGCCCTGGGGCTGCTTCTGGCTGTCCTCCGGCCCAAGGCTACCCCCATCCCATTTGGGTCTCCAGGACAAGGCCCTCAGCAGGCGCTTCAGGAGGTATTTCTCCTGATCTTGGCTTCATGGGTGTCTTGGAATCTTGTTTACAGCTCCGTCTGTGGCTGTGGTTGGGAGGACCCCTCAAGGCTGGAACTGAGGCCGGAGGGGATCGTGTTGATTATTATAGAGGTGGATCAGGGCTTCGGTAGCAGTGGTAGGCTTCCGGAGGTGTCCCCAAGTAATGAGACTAACAAGGGACAGAGCAAGAGGGGATTCTGGATCATTCCCTAGTCCCTGGGGCTGTCTTCTTCCCTAAGAACTCCTGAAGCTGTGCGTGCCTGAGGCCCCTAACCTTGTCCAGCCAGAGATGGGGGCTCCAGGGTGAATCCCCATCAGTCACAGGACTGCATACCTTCCCTCTGAGCGCTGCAAGCAGTCCAAGGGGGAGGGGTGCCAGTACCACCAGGCCAGGAGCAAACACCTCTGCATCTCCCCTCTTCCCAGCCAGTAGCTCTGGGTTGGCAGAGAAGGGTAGAGTCTTGTAGAACATAGCTGCAGACAGCAGCACACACACACACACACACACACACACACACGGCTCAGGCCTGTGGTTCCATACAGGCTGTATGGCCTGATACCAAATCATAAAATATCCTATTTCACAGACCTTATGTTGGTGGATAAGTGATAGACACCTGTGTGTGTGTGTGTGTGTGTGTGTGTGTGTGTGTGTGTGTGTGTGTGTTTGAAGTATGCATCTATCTATTTGGCTCAATTGTTCTTGTTGTTATGTGCCGTCGAGTCGCTTGCGACTCCTAGCGACCCTATGCACAACAGCCCTAAACCCTGCTCTATCCTGTGCCATTCGCATTGCCTCTGACACACCCATCCCGATTACCCCAGTCACTGAATCAATCCACCTTATAGAGGGTCTTCCCCTCCTGTGCTGTCCCTCCACCCTCCCAAGGATGATGTCCCTCTCCAAGGATCTGGCCCTCCTTACAATATGTCCAAAGTATGTCAGATGAAGCCCCAGAATCCTTGCCTCCAAGGAGCAGCCTGTTTTCACCTTCTCTAGGATGAATCTGTTTGTTTCCTTGGCAGTCCATGGTACATTCAATACTCTTCTCCAGCACCACAGCTCAAAGGCGTCAATTCTCCTTTTATCCTTCCTAGTCATTGTCCAGCTCTCTGATGAATAACAAGTGATAGCAAAGACTATGGCCTGTATCAGATGCACCTTAGTCTCCAGAGTGACACCATTGCTCTTCAGTACCCTGGAGAGGTCCCTAACAGCAGACTTTCCTGACCTTATTTTTACCACTGAGTCCGAATCAACCCATAGTGGACCCTCCAGCAGGTTTTCAGAGTTGGTAAATCACACGGGAGCAGATTGCCCACCTTTCTCCCATGGAGCAGCTGGTGAATTCAAACCACACACCTTCCTGGTGGCAGTGCAATTCCTTACCACTCTGACCTTCGTGAACCATTTAACCCTAATTTGCAGCAGGCGAGGAATGATAAAACAACAGACAACAGGCAAGGAGTGACAAAAGTTGGCCTCCGTCTTTTCTATCGAATTGAAATCTAAAATTTAAAATTCATGAAAGAGGGACACAAAGGCCTTTTCTGAATTTTCATCGCAGGTTCCAAATGCATGAGTGTGTCTGTCTGAGGGATGCCAGGAGACCTGAGGGCACCGAAGGCAGAGTTGTCTCTGGTGCTTGGGGTGGGTGGAGGAGTTGGAGGCCCCTCCCACCCTCATGTGGCCCTGCTCCTCCTACCCGCAGGATGTCCATGAGGAGCCCTATCTCTGCCAAGCTGGCCCTGGATGGAGTTGGCACCATGGTGAACTGCAGCATCAAATCAGAAGAGAAGAAGGAGACTTGCCATGAGTCCCCTCAGGGCTCGGCCGCTGCAGCTGAACCCCAGCCTGGAGACCCGGCCCAGGCCCCCCAGGAAGGCACTGACCCCCAAGCTCCAGCCCAGGTACCTGATTCTGCCCCAGGGCTCCCCTGCTTTGTATAGCCTCATGCCGCTGCCACACCTGACCGCTCTGTTAAGCTGAGGCAGACACCCTCCCCTCACTGGGCAGTAGATGCAGGTAGAAAAGTTCACTGTCGGGGCAGGGGTGAGTGAGGAGGGGCTGCTACTGGATACCAGGTCACGTGGCCCATCGGGACGTGGACTCATTCTTGTGCTTACTCATCACGTACCTCACACCAAGCCAGTTGGTGCAGAATCCAGCTCATAGTGACCCCACACATGCCAGAGTAGAACTGTGTGCTCTAGGAGTTTTGGTGACTGGGGTTTTTTTGGTAATAGATCACCAGGCATTTCTTTCAAGGTGCCTCTAGGTGGACTCAAACCCTCAACCTTTTGGTTAGCAGCCAAGAGTGCTAACCCTTTGCACCTCCCTGATACTTTCACAGTTCACCTACTGCATGCTGATAACTCTGTGTCCAGCACTGGGAATCGTATTAGACTAGGGAGATGAGATACACACTGGAAATTTGGATTAAAGGTGTCAACCAGCTTTTCCCATGATTTGAGATGGGGGAGAGTCAGTCTTATTACCCAAAGAAGAGCGAAATCATGATTAAAGATAATAAATACATTTCCTCACCTTTAAAATGAGGAAATTGAACCACATGATCAGTAAAGATTCTGGCATGGCTTAGAAAATGTTAGGATTTCATGCAGGATGCTTAAAAAGGGAATGTGGTTAAAAGGCAAACGAACAGAAGTGAGGAGAGTCTGAGGGCTCTGAGGGGTCTAACCGGGAGGTGATGGAAGGAGCAATATCAAGGAGGACTTCCTGGAGTACTGAACCCCCACTCCAGCTGGACTTTCCAGGGTGGGAGGACTGAGATGAGAAGTGAGGAGAGGTCTGCCGGGGCTCTGTGAGGAACCAGCCCGGCCAGAGTGGCAGGTGTCTGCAGGGGAATAGACATTAATAGCTGGCTTTGGACCCATGACTGCAGTGACAACCCCCCGGCACGTACAATCACTTCCTTGATCCCTTCAGCAGTCCTGTGACAGGGGAGGTATGAGTATTTCCATTTTCAGAAGAGGAAAGTCAGGTTCAGAGGAGTTCAGAGAATCATGTGGGATCAAGCAGCTTGTGAGTCACCGATCCCAGATGGAAACCCAGGCCTTTTGTCTTGAAATCTTTTGTTCTTTTCACTGTGTAGAGTAAGGTCAGAGCAGAGGCCCTGGGAGGTGGGGGGAGAGGAGCCCTCCCCCTGAAGCTGCAGGAGTGGGTGGAGCATCTGGGATTGCTCAACCTTCCAGCAAGCGGCCTCCTCCCTCTTTTGGGGTGATGGTGTTAATTCAAGGTGTCTTGCAGGACTGTAGCTCTCCTGAGAGCAATGGGTCCCCAGAACCCAAGAGACCAGGAGCTGCAGAGGCTGCTTCTGGAAGCCAGGAGAAGCTGGACTTCAACCGAAACTTAAAAGAAGGTGAGACGTTGGCACAAGGTAAAGGTGGGGGGGCGCAGGGCAGGATGGTGGTGGGCAGCTGTTCTGATTGATCCTCACACTGCCTTCCAGTTGTGCCGGCCATCGAGAAACTGCTATCCAGTGACTGGAAGGAGAGGTTTCTGGGAAGAAGTTCTGTGGAGACCAAAGATGTCAAAGGTAAAGATTCTAGCGTGTGGTCACGTAGCTCCCTTTTCTGCTGTGAGCCTGGCCGGCCATGAAATCCTGAGTAGTACAGTCTGAGTGAGGGTCTAGGAAACCCTACTATGTGCACTGGGCCACTTTGGGTTCTCTCTGGCCCGAGGGAGTGTCAGAAATCTAAACACTTAGAGAAACACCAACAATCAGTGTAACCGAATCTGTTTATTGCGCTATTATGTGCTGTTGAGTCAGAACGGCTCAGGGATAACCTTTCTGCTGGTTTTCAGAAGCTATAACTCACAAAGGAGGAGATTGCCGACCTTTCTCCTGAGGAGCAGCTGGTGGATTCGAACCACATGCCTTTGGGTTGATCGTGGACCTCCTGACCACTAGGCCATCAAATAGGATTTGAGTTGGGCAGCATCTACTGGACCCTCAGTATGACACTGGAAATCGGGTGATGTCATCGTCATATGAATGCGCCAGGAGAGAACCTGAAAACACTTGGAGGGGTCCACTTGGTTGGAAACAATCGCTAAGAACGTACATTTTTCCAGGCTCAGATCCTACATCTGCATATAGACAATTCTCCAAAAGAACCCAGTGGCCAAGGCAAACAGTCTTCAGTGGGCTGTGTACTAAGTTATTCTTTGAATTCCTTAAGACCTCAAAATTTTGAAAGGACACCTCAAGGTGATGGCTTGGGTGGGTCACCCCAATGCCATGAACTCAGAAATCAGATTTCTGGGAGAATCCAGGCAGGTTTGTCGGGGTTGTCAGAAGTCACCGGCATCCTTTATCTGGACCCCCGAGCATCAGTTGCATTCTCATACAAGGAATGCTGTCAAGTCAGAACCGACTCCAAGCTGACCCTGCAGTGGATTTGCAGAGGCTGTAAATTGCAAGAGAGGAGGTTGCCCATCTATCTCCCTCATAACAGCTGGTAGATGGAAATGCATACCTTTGGGTTGGTAGCACAACTCATTTTACCACTAGGCCACCAGAGCTCCATCACACAGGAGGAATTGTTCAGTGCCTTCCAGGTATGGCCCATAGTGACTCTATAAACAACGGCTCTGAACCCTGTCCTGTCCTGTTCCATCATCACATGCTTTAACACACTCCAGACCATTGCGGCAGTCACTGTGTCAGTACATCTGCTTAAGGGTCTCCTTCTCTTTCACTGACTCTCTACCTCTCTAAGCATGATGTCTCTTTCCAGTGAATAGACTCTCCTAACAACATGTCCAAAGCATGTGAGATGAAGCTTTATCACCTATGCCTCCAAGTAGCACTCTGCTACACTTTCTCCAAGACTTGTCTGTTCTTTTGGCCGTCCATGAGATGTTCAGTGCTCCTCTCCAACCCACACAGCTCAAAGACGTCAATTCCTATTCTGTCATCCTTATTTGTTTTCCAGCTCTCAGATGCATAGCAAGTGACTAAAAAGACCATGGCCTGAATCTAGCGCACCTTAGTCCTCAAACTGACAGCATTGCTCCTCAGTAATTTAGAGAGGTCCCTGACTACAGAGTGTAAATCCTGAAGGAATCATATTATACAGGAAGGGTAGCCTGATGGGAATCAAATCCCATAAAACCGTCCAGCTCTTACCAGACCCTTTGAATCCGGGCTTGTTATTGTCATTCCTTTGCCTAATTGCAAGATTAGTCAGAATTTCCCTCACATCATTCACAATTCTAGGCAAAAATTCCCTTACGTGGTCCAGAATTTTGGACCATTGATGGAAGTCACACTGCTAATCCAAATGCCACGCCTCTCTTGAGGTTTGAATTCACCTGAGGCTTCTCTGGAGACCATTTCCTCTCGTGCAAGTTAAAGCCTCGGAAACCCAGCGGATGGTCAGCTCCAACTTAGTGCCGACTCCAAGGCTGAGTTGAGTTGGGAGGGCCCCACTCAGTGCATCAGAAGTGACTATTCAAAGGCTGCTGGTTGGATTCCACCCACTGGAGGGTCACCTCTGAGCTGGTTGCAACTTAAATGGCAGTGAGAGAGAGCTCAAGTTCAGTAGAGTGACAGGGATTTTTCCAATATGTGATCATCACACCCCCACTGGGAACTTTGAAACGGTGCAAGCCTGGCCTTCACAGCACCTTCCCCTGGGGAGGGTGGCCTGGCCTCTGTATTTTCCAGAGCCTTCCTGAGTGATTCTGATGCAAATTGAGCTTCAACCTAAAGCTTAAAAATAAACAGTTGTCAGGGAAATTGGAAGAATCTGTTCTCAAAAACAAGATTTCAAATTTTGTAAATAAAGTAATATTTTAAAAAAATACAGTTGTGACAAATAATTGCATCAGGAAGTTAGCTAAATTGGAGGTCAGAGAAGCACTGAGGTTTACTGGTTGAGAACCATGTATCAGACACTGGGCTAAAGACTTTCCCTACGTTTTCTCGCCTGTTGTCTCACCTCACCCTCACGGCTGGCAGCCCAGTGAATAAGCTCTTGTAGCACTCACATATTTACTGATAAGCTAAGGGGCAGAGAAATTGAGTAACTTCCCCATGCCTCATAGACAGGATGGATTGAAATGGGACTTGAATGAGGTCTGTCATCCAGCCTTTGGAGTGTCCCAGTGGCCCCTCATGTAGCATAATTGTCCACGCTGACCTTGTGCACACTCCAGGCTGGATGCTGAGATGGCCAATGCTCAGAATGTCCCATGCCTGGAGTTGGTGCTTCACGGTGGAGACGTTCTAGGACTAGATAGTTGTCAGGATAACATGATGCGGGCACAGCTTAGTTGTCTGTGTCGCTCAGCCTCTCTCAGGGACCTAGAGTTTAGCATTTACTGACTGGGTGAATGGGTGGACGGACAAGACTGACAGGTGAACAAATGCAAAACCATACATAACTGTGTGGTAGAGTCAAAGAGAGGCCAAGTCAGGAAAACCTCCTAACCAAACCACCTTGAGGGGAGGAGCCGCCTGGGGGTTTAGAGTTTAGAGCATGGAGCCAACCACCCTGGACATCAAGGTCAATTAGTATGACAAAGCCCACCAGACAGTGATCCAAATTCTACTTGGGTCCCTAGTGGCCTCAGGTCTCTATTGTTATTGCTGTTGTTGTGTGGCCTTGAGTTGGAACCTCCCCGTAGATGCCCCTCCAGCAAGTCTGCCCATCCTTTTCCCTTGGAGCGGCTGGTTTGTTCGAACCCAGTGCCTTTTGAGATCCCAGCGAAGCTTCTTACCACTAAACCGCCATAGCTTCCCCTTAGGATTTTCCGTCAGGCTCTTAAAAACTCATGAACAGCTTTGTACTAGTCCCTCCTGGTCTACGAGCAAAGAAGAGGAAAAAAATTCAAACATACAAGGGAACAGTTAGGTTTAAAGGATTGACAGACCTCATGCATCTCAACGTCCATGACCCTGAGACAAGCAGTGGGTGGTGTTCAGCCACTGTTGACTTCTTAAAGGAATCAAGAGAAAATCCTGGTAGGGTGAGAGAAAAATACGGACCCAAACTCAAAGTCATAAAAAACCCTCAACAAAACCAAACCACCACGCCAGGCTTACTGGTGTGGGAGAGACAGGGAGCACCGGAGGATGTGGGGTAAGGAGCTGCACTTCCAACCCAAAGGCACACGGTTCAAATCCACCTGTTCCACAGGAGAGGGGTGGGCAGTCTCCTCCAGCGTGGAAACCTCTCCTGGAAACCTGCTAGTTGGTAGGCTATGGGTCGGTTCCGACTCAGTGGTACTGACCAACAGGAATACCCAAAACTGTGGGACTTAGACACCTTCCAGCCTGAAACAGAACTCAACCTCCACCTACCAAAATTTGGTCAAATGATGGCCTGTCGGGTGAATAGTAGGACCTGGGAGGTAGGAACTCCTCAGAACAACCAACCTCGCAACAGGGTCCAAAGGACAGCATTTTCTTCTATGTGATTTGAATGAAAGCTTACAAAGCAGATTGGTTCTTCATTCAACCCTTTGTTTATGCACATTCTTTAATATAGCATTGTTGTTATGTGCTGTTGAGTCACCTGCGACTCATAGCGACCCTGTGTACAATATCTCTGAAGCCTGCCCTGTCCTGAGCCAGCCTCACTGACTCCAACACACCTAATCCCACTGCCCCAGTCACTGTATCAATCCATCTCATCCAGGGTCTTTCTCTCCTGTGCTGTCCTTCCACCCTCCCAAGCATGATGTCCTTCTCCAAGGATCAGTCCCTCCTGGCCACATGCCCAAAGTATATGAGACAGAGCTTCACAATCCCAGCCTCTTAGGAGAAATTTGGTTTCACCTTCTAAAAGACGGACCTATTTGTTTTGTTTGTCTGTTTCCTATTTGTTTTTCCATGTTATGTTTGATACTCTTCTCCAGCACCACAACTCTTACATACCCCCAGTGTAATCCCACTTGTCTCCATTTCTCCGTGTAATTCTCGTGCCCATGAATCCTGTCTCACTCCTTGCCTTTGGGGCTTCATGGTTGGGCAGATGCTGCCTTTTGCTGGTTATTCTAAGGATTGAGTGACTCTCTTTGGGTCACTTTGTTACCATAAAGCAGACGCTCAGCTGCCTGCCACCCAGTCTTGGGGAGGGGTTGGAGTGGAAAGTGCAGATTTTATTATCCATTGGTATATGGTGTATGAACTAGCCATACCTGCCTCCCCATCTTGAAGACTGCAGGGACCTGCAGAGGGGAGACACAGGACAGCAGGATGTAAGACAGCTTCCCAGGAGCTTCTCTTTTCCAGGTATTGGTGTCTGATGAGGGTGTGCTGGACTAATCAGCTGGTCTTATCAAGGTTCCCAAGATAGCTTGGCGCCATCCATGCGTCATGACTGAAAGGGAGTAATTCTCTGCCATAGATTGCAGGGTGGACAGGCAAACATCAACAAAGGGCCTCAGCTTGATAAGAAGAGCTCTGTCAATTGTCCTGGGAGACCAAGAGAACAAAAAGGGCTTCCACTTGATAAGGAGACTTCTTTCAATTGTCTTGCTGGACCAGGAGGAGAGGTTTTCCTTTTGAAATATTATTTTGTGAAAGTTAAGTTTTTGCGTTAACATAGAATGTTGGGAGAGGTTGGCATCTATGAATTGAGAGGTTAGTCTTTTACTGTTGTATCCGTTATAAAAGAGTCTTTTTGCTTAAGGTATTATAAAAGTATTAGTTTCCAACTATTCTAGGCTACGTAAAAAATGTTTTAAAAGGTTAGCTTTTCTATTGCCAACAATGGCTGGGTGCAGTTCTGAATAGAACGGGAGAAAATGTAGAGCCAAACTCAAAAATCCCAAGAAAGACCAGGCTTCCTGGTTTATTAGAGAATAGTGGGTTGCTCAAATCTGTGGTGCCCAGACACCCTCCGAACTTGAACCTGAACTCACTACCGGCCCTGTAGCAACTTTCAGCCAAGATGGTAAACAGTAACATGAGGGAGTTAAGAACTGTTTGGAACAGTCAACTTGACTTGAACAAAAGGCAGCATTTTTAAAATTGTGATTTGATTGAAAGTTGACAAAGCAGATTGACTTTTCATTCAACCATTACTACACTTTTTTGCTTTACCACATTATGATTCCCACAAGTAATGACACTTGTCCCCCTGTAATTCTCAATTCTATGAATCCTTCTCTCCCTCTTCATGCCTTCGGGCCTTTATTTTTAGGCCAGTGCTGCTCTTTTGATCTTCTGTGGTTGGTTACTCTAGGGACTGAAAAGCCGCCTTGGTGTTCCTGGTGACTTACCTGCCTGTCGTCAGCTGTCTGATTGAAGGTTGAGCCATGCGGGGGATGAGTTTTGATCTGAGTTTGACATGTGGTTAAGGGCCGTAGTCTCAAAAGTGCCACCATTCTTCCCTGAAGCTGTAAGCCTGGCCTTTTGGTTTTCCTATTTTGTTCTCCATTTCCCCAGCGCTGTTCGTGTCCTCTTCTGATTCCTTTCAGAGGGGGTCAGGATACCACTTAGGCCTTCTGGCCTCAGGGTCATAGAAGTTGAGGTTCATGTGGTTCGTTAAACCTTTGGACGGATTGTTTCAGTTCATCATTGCTTTTGTTCCCTCTTCTTTGGCCAGGTCAGGGAGAGGCCAGTTGTTGCACCTGAGACGACTGCTTTCACCCTTTGAAGGTCACTAGCCTCTATAGTAGAATGTAGAGCAGTGCCCTGTGGACTTGTTAGCATGTGCCAGTGAGTTGGAACTGACCCATAGCTGACCCTCCCGCAGGTCTTCAAAGGCTGTCAATCACGTGGGAGGAGATTACCCGTCCTTCTCCCTAGAAGCAACTGGTGGATTGCAACTGCCTCTTTGAGTTGGCAGCTCCTTGCCCACCGGGCCACCAGAGCTCTGTGGACTATGTTACGCCACTGACCTTGATGTCCACTGAGACTGTGCTTCCAAGGCCTCAGGACCAGCAACTCATTCCCTCAGGGACTTTAGTTACGATTAAGAAGCCTACATGGCTTTGCCCCTGTTGACTCTGTGTGTATATATGGATTTATTTACAGCGTGTACTGATACGAACATAGATAGAGCTTCTAACAGGGCAGTGTTTGCTTAGGGATTAAGCTCAGAAGGCAGGCAGGGATAGGAAGGAAGGCTGAATGGAGATGGAAAACATGAGGAGGAAGTGGGCAGAATCCTGTTACATAGTGGGGATTGCAGTCAATGTCATGAAGCAAAATGTGTGGGAATTGTGAAACGGAAAACCAGTTTGGTCTGTCAGCTTCCACCAAAATCACATTGAAAGGTAGAGAGAGGCAAACCTCAGCTGTGGCTGTTTCTCTGTGGGGCAGGGACCCAGGAGAGCCTGGCGGAGAAGGAGCTGCAGCTCCTGGTCATGATCCACCAGCTGTCCACCCTGCGGGACCAGCTCCTCACGGCCCACTCTGAGCAGAAGAACATGGCGGCCATGCTCTTCGAGAAGCAGCAGCAGCAGATGGAGCTGGCCCGGCAGCAGCAGGAGCAGGTGGGACCGGCTGGACGTGTGGCTGTCATTCCAGGGCAGGGCTCTGTCGGGCTCTAGAGAGGAGTCCCTCGGGGCAAGCCTGGCTAGTGCAGGGTGCTGCCTCACGGCGGGGAGCTGGGGACTGTGGACAGAGGCTGTACGCCTCCCAACTCTAGCTGATTCACAGGGCCTGGAGGAGGGTGTGTGGGGCCTGGCTGGGGGCCGAAGGGACTCTGTAGTTAGAATAGCTGACGGCTTCTCAGCCAACCTCCATCCGTGAGCATCCTGAAGGGAACGGGGAGCTCTTCACAAAAGCAGGATCAATTCCGAGGGCGACTGGCCCCTGCTCCTGCCTAACCTCAGTGTTTAGTCCTAGTGCAGAGGCAGAGACATCTAGGTCTGGGAAGGCAGCTCTAGGGGAGCCCGGGGCCCTTGGTGGCCTCATGTCTGTGGCCTTCTGGCCCATTCTTTCCCTCTAACCAGATTGCAAAACAGCAGCAACAGCTCATCCAGCAGCAGCATAAGATCAACCTCCTTCAACAGCAGATACAGGTAAAGATGGGTGAGCTGGGAAGAGTGGGAGATTGGGGGTGATTGACACCAGGCTGCAGAGATGCCAGGGAAAGGAGGGAACAGGGAGATGGCTCTGCTCAAGGGGCCAGTGACCCTCCAGAGGGGCTGTCATTTCTGCTCTAGACCTTTCACTAACCTCGCTCTGTTTTAAGGGGAGGGGCCCAGAATATCTTCCTCCCCACCTGGGAATTGAGGGTGGCATGGAGTCAGAGGGAGTCATTAGAAAACTGTCCCCCATCTTTACCTTCATTGGTGGGTCCACCCTGTGTCTTGTGCTGACCGCATCTGGGACTCACCCTGGGCTTCTTCACCTTCAGCAGGTCAACATGCCTTATGTCATGATCCCAGCCTTCCCTCCAAGCCACCAGCCTCTGCCTGTCACCCCTGAATCCCAGCTGGCGTTGCCTATCCAGCCCATCCCCTGCAAACCAGGTGAGTGGGAGAGAGGGATCCCCCACCACAGCCAGCTGGTTGTGAGGCAGTCAGGAAGGAGTCCATCCTAATTCATTTGTCTGCGGTGTGGCCTTTCTGGATCCATCCTATGGAAGAATCATTCTTTCTTTGTGGGCTTCACGGGGCAAATGAAAAGAAAAAGCTGTTTGGAAACCATAATGTATTTGTCAGATATAAGGTGATGTGGGCAATCCAGGGCTTATCTCCCCAGTTCTGGCTCCAGAATCATGAACTCTGTTGAACACTGATATCTTGAACATTAATATCTTAAATATTAACTGAGACTGACGCTTCCAGATTCCAACTAGCATTCCTACCTTCCGGGCCTGGCCACACCTCTCTGCCTCGCCCCGGTCACTGGGATGCTGCGCACTCATGGATTGAGCATTTGCCATGTGGCAGACACCACAGTTCTGGGGCCACGTGGGCAGAGCAGGGCCCTTGAGCTCCAGGAATCTGTACACTGGGGAGGGACAAAGGAGAAAGGTAGTAGTAATTGAAGAAGCAGAGAAAGCTGCTTGGGGAGGCATGTTTGATCTGGCCCTGGGAGAGTGGGAGGGTTTGTGATGATGGGACGAGGGCGACAAGAGACCCCTGGGTGTCAGGGAGGGTTGAGAGGGAGGCTGTGCCAGTTGGAGCCAGAGCTTGGAGTTTGCCGTTGATTCTGCAGGGTGTTGAACTTGACCATTTGAGTGGAGGGGCCACCTGGCTCTGGAATGATATGGAATGGAGAGGGCATGGCTGGAAGCAGAGCCAAGCAGGGGGATGTTGAGCCCATTCTAGCGATTAGGGAGGTAGCTGGCCTAGTGTGGGGGGGAAGACTCATCATCAGCATGCACTATGCAGGTGACACAGCCTTGCTCATTGAAAGTGAGGAGGACTTGAAGCACTCGTTGCAGAAGATTAAAGAATATGACCTTCAAATATGGATTACATCTCAGCATCAAGAAAACAGAAATTCTCACCACGTAGTTGATAAGTAGCAGCATGATAGATGGAGAAAGGACTGAAGTTGTTAATGATTTCGTTTTACTTGGATCCACAATCAACACCCTTGGACCCTTGGAATCAGCAGTCAGGAAATTAAAATTTCAGAGTTGCATTGATAAATCTGTTGTCAAGGACCTCTTCAGACAGCAATGATGTCAGTCTGAAAACAAGGTGCGCCTGATCCAAGCCATGACCTTGTCAGTTGCTTGCTGTCCAACAGAGAGCTGGTCAATGACTATGGATGGCAGAAGAAGAATTCATGCCTTTGAGTTGTGGTGCTGGAGAAGAGTCTTGAGCATACCATGGACTGCCAAGAGAACAACAAACAGGTTTGTCCTGGACAGGATGAAACCAGATTGCTCCGTGGAGGCAAAGATTTTGAAATTCCATTTCACAGACTTTGGACAGGTTGCCAGAAGGGACCAGTCCTTGGAGAAGGACTTCTTACTTGGAAAAGTGGAGGGTCAGCGCAAGGGAGGAAGATCCTCGACAAGATGGATTGACACAGTGACTGTCATCAAGTGTAACACAAGTGTGACACCAGTAGTGAATCAAGTGTGTTGGAGATGGTGGGGTTGGCTCAGGCTAGGGCAAGGGTCAAATCTGTTATTTCTAGGGTCACTAGGTATCCTAGTCAAATCCACAGCTCATAAAAATAGGCTAGGGACGAGGAGAAGTGTGGAAACAGAATTACTGGGCCATAATAATGAAGGCTTATGGGAACAGGGCTGAGATGCTGCCCATATTTGGCTCAGAAGTATCAATTCCTTCTGGATCATCGTCTCTGTCCCCCCAACAAGAAAGAGCAGGAACAGGAAAGCCCCCAGGAGAGTTCCTTTGGATCCACTCCAGGGCCCCTAGGCCTTGGGTGTGCCCTTATTAGTCACCCAGCTGACCTGAGCCTACACCTGGCCTAGTGATAAGCACTGGGGCAGAGGGGAAGCACAGTGGGTGAAGAAGTCAGGCCCTGTGCTGAGGGAAGCTTCCTTTTAGCTGAGGGGAACTGGGGAAGGAGCAGGCTTGAGGGTTAGATCAGGGCAATGCCGTGAAACCCTGGCCACTTGAGATGGATGCGGAGTTGAGCTGTAGAGGAGAGGAAGCCTGGGGCCTGCTTGGGGAGGGACTGCAGAGTGCTTTCTGGAGCTTGTGAGCTGTGGAAGAAGGACCAGCACAGACAAGTGCGTTTCCTTGTTTGCTCCCGAATCCTACCAGGCAAGGGGGCCAGTAGTGAGTTACCAAGTCCTCCTTCCTAAAGCTGAGGGCAGGTAATGCCCCTCGCTAGGTGACAAGCATCAGAAGCGAGTCCAGACTCTAGTACTCAGCATCTAGGGCTTCTGCTCTGACTGTATCCGAAAGCCTGGTCTGTCTTGGCCTTGTCTTGCTCACACATAGAATTCAATCTAGGTCCCTCTGCGCTCTGCCCATCCTTCGGGCACCAGGTCCCCTCTCCATTCCCCCTGGAAGCCTCTTCTAGCCCCCTCAGCTGGAACATAGTTCACTGTTACCTGTGGTGCTGCCCTAACACCACCTGCCATGTGCATAGGGATTGATAGACATGGCCGGCCGGCCGCCAGCTGCGCTGCTGTCTCCTTGAAGTTGGGTCTCATCAAGCATGAGCAGGACAGGATGGGATAGGTAGATGAGAGGGAGTAGGATGTACAGGGGGAGGAATGGGCTGCAAAGCCTAGAGGACCTAGGTTCAAATCCTAATGTTATCATTTATCAGCCCCGAGGGCAGGTCATTCAATTTCTCTGGGTCTCAGTTGCTTTACCTGTGAAAGAGGATAATCATGTATCAAGCCCATGTTATGTGCCACATTATACATGTTATTGCACTGGAGAAGTGTTACACACCAGATGTATACACACACAGTAGGTACAAGACAGAAACACCGGTAGACTGGATCGATGTTGCACCCCCTCTTGGAGCGCCAGTGTCGGGTTTAGGAAAGGCAGGAGCAGGGAGGGTGGGGATGGGGGGCTGGAGGTTCTCTGGTGGCCTTGGGGCAGGGCAGGGCCGTTGGGGGGAGCTGGGCCAGCCCCAGAACGCTGCCCACCTGTGGTGCCAGGGTCTCATGGAGCAGGGTGTCTGCTGCTCAGTGCTGAACCAGGACTTTGTCCTTGCCGCCTTCTCCTCAGTGGAGTATCCGCTGCAGCTGCTGCACAGCCCTCCTGCCCCGGTGGTGAAGAGGACAACGGCCATGGCCACCCACCACCCCCTGCAGGTACCACCCTTGCTCCCCTGGCCGGGCTGCCTCCCTGGGGGGCTTTGGGGGGGGTGTGGTGGCCAACTCTTAGAATCCTTTGTTCACATATCCCTTTGCTTTTCTTTTTCTGTCTTCTGGTCTGTTCTGGGTATGCTGGGCTTTCTGTGTCCCTGTTTCCTCTCTCCTCTGCACTCCTGTGGGGTCCCCTTTGCTCTCTCACCTTCTGACCTTCCTGGTCTCCCCCAGGAGCCCTCCCAGCCCCTCAACCTCACTGCCAAGCCCAAGGCCCCCGAGCTGCCCAACACCTCCAGCTCCCCTAGCTTGAAAATGAGCAACTGTGGACCCCGCCCCCCAAGTCATGGGGCCCCCACTCGGGACCTGCAGGCAAGCCCACCCAACTTGCCCCTGGGTAAGTGTTTTGTTGCCTCCAGCGTCTTTGGCCCTTCCCAGGGGGGACGTCTCCAGGTTGTAGTTCTGGTAAATCAGAAGTGAGACCTACTCTCCCTGGTCGCTTTTCATTCCAACACTAAGTGCCTTCCATCCCTCCACTTACTTCCCTTCCCCATATCCATCTGGGCACCCCAACATCCAGAGTCCAGACCACAGAGTGGCACAGCTCTGGGGGTTGTTACTCACATTCTTCGTCTTTGGCAGGTTTTGTTGTAGGGGTGTACTGTCGAGTCAGAACCAACCCATAACTGACCCTCCAGTGGGTTTTCAGAGGCAGTAAATCTCACATTTGCCCCACTTTTCCCCCCAAAGCAGACAGTAAATTTGAACCACATACCTTTGTATTAGCAGCACAGTTCCTTACCCGTGAACCACTGGAGCTCAGTCTTTTGGCAGGAGCTGCTGGGGGTTAATGGTGGCCCCTGGGAGATGTGCAATGCAGTGGAAGGATGGGGCAGGAGGGAGCTGGAATTCACAGGGCGGCTGCTGGAAGGGGTGCGGCAGCAGCTGACGTGAACGTGGCTTTAGTGGACCCTGTCAGTGCTCCTTCCCTCTGCCCCACCCGTGTCCCAATAGGCTTCCTTGGTGAAGGGGACGCTGTCACCAAAGCCATCCAGGATGCTCGGCAGCTGCTACACAGCCACAGCGGGGCGCTGGAAGGCTCCCCCAGCACTCCCTTCCATAAGGTACAGGGCCCTGAACTGGGGAGCATTGGGCAGGCGGTGGGGAACCCAGAGTCCGAGACCACCGCAAGGAGAGCCCGTGGGGGCAGGCACGGGACTCCTGCACAGGTTGCCTCTGTCCACCCTCAGGAACTCATCAGCCTGGACTCGTCTCCAGCCAAGGAGCGGCTGGAGGAGACCTGTGTGCACCCACTGGAAGAAGCCATGCTGAGCTGCGACATGGATGGTGAGGGCCCCGGGCAGGACGGCCCGCTGCTGCGTCCACACCAGGGCCAGGGTGGGTCATGTCCTGTTGGGCCTTGGTCCCCTCACCCCTGTAGTGTGCCTGTGGAGTCTTCCCTGGGGCTATGTGTCCTGCCGTCTGCATACATGCTCCCCTACATCGCGTGGACTCCCCCTTGTCTGCTGAGGGGCCCTGCAGCTTTTGCTCCCCTGCATGTCTGTCCCTCGTCTGTCTGGGTCCCTGGCTGAGTGATGCTGATACCTGGCTCCTGGCTGTTGGTTTCCGTGTCACCCTCTGCTCCTGTCTTGGTTGTCCTGAGCTTGCTGCCCCGGGAACCTTCCCAGAGCCTGGTGGTGGTCAAGTAGGGGCTACCCATTTCTCTGCCGCAGTGGGTAGAGGTTCCACCCCAGCCAGGCCACCCAGCTGACTCAACCCCCGCCCTCCAGGCTCTCGCCACTTCCCAGAGTCTCGGAACAGCAGCCACATCAAGAGGCCCATGAATGCCTTTATGGTGTGGGCCAAGGACGAGCGGCGGAAGATCCTCCAGACCTTCCCAGACATGCATAACTCCAGCATCAGCAAGATCCTGGGTGAGGACCGTGGGCGGGGCGCTGGGGGCCGCTCATGATATGCCACCTAAGTTGAACTCTGGTGGAAGCCAGTGGGTTGGAGGGTCGGGAGTCATGGGGACAGCTGGGCCCGGCGGTTTATGCAAACCAGAGGCCTCCACCGAACTTAAGAGTTTCTGGCTCTTTGGGAGGTGAGCGGATGCTGACCGCACCCTCCGCTGGTTGTCCATGGACATAAAACATCACACGTGCATCAGTGCAGCCCCCTAGGAGGTGCTTGGACACATTATTGCCTTGTTTCCAATCCGAGACCCAAGTCCCCTCTAGACTCGCGGCCATGGGGTGTCGGGGTGGTCGTCGGCTGGGCTCAGCACTGACTGGGTGTCCCTCCCGCGGCCGGGCCAGGCTCCCGCTGGAAGGCCATGAGCAACCAGGAGAAGCAGCCCTACTATGAGGAGCAGGCGCGGCTGAGCCGGCAGCACCTGGAGAAGTACCCCGACTACAAGTACAAGCCGCGGCCCAAGCGCACCTGCATCGTGGAGGGCAAGAGGCTGCGGGTGGGCGAGTACAAGGCCCTCATGAGGACCCGGCGCCAGGATGCCCGCCAGAGCTACGTGATCCCGTAAGCAGGCCCGCCCCACACAGCCGCTGGGGCTCAGCTGGGGCTCAGTTCTGTGTGTGACTGGTCTGTGACTGGCTTTGGTGTGTGTGGTCACTGAGGGGCTGGGCCTCTAGGTGCTGTGCATGTGTGGCCCAGCCGGGTCCTTTGTAATTAAAGATACAGGCCTGTAACTCTTGAGTGGCTGCCTGTGAACTGTGATGTGCATGTGTGTGACGAAACATTACCAGGATGTGGTTAGACCTGTGTGTGTAACCCCAGGGGTCATTGAGCATGGCAGAGTGTGTGTGTGTGTGTGTGTGTGTGTGTGTGTGTGTGTGTGTTTTCTTTGTGGATGGCAGAGGTATATAATGAAGAGTGACTATCAGGGATCAGTCATGTGTGTCCCAGTGATAAAAATCAGCGCTGCAATCCTGAAGGCACATGGTTTGAATCCACCAGCTGCTCCGTGGGAGAAGGATGGGCGATCTCCTCCCATGTGATTAACTGCCTCTGAAAACCCACTGGAGCGTCAGCGATGGGTCGGTTCTGACTCGATGACACACAAAAACAACAACCACCCTGAAAAAATGCACCGCTGGGTTCCATTTCTTCTGAATGCAATAGGCGAGCAGCCAGAGCCCAAAAACTCAAAATAGTCCCACAGAAAGATTCTTGACTTGGCCAAAGAACTCATCCTAGTGAGCTATTTGAAATAGGCACTCCCTTGGAGCATTCAAAATAGGATACAATTTCCAAAATGTGGAATTGCACACACTTCCCAAGAGTATTGTGTATGGAATGTGCCAAGAAGTGTGTGTGGCTGAAGCTGACAGTGAACTTGCTCGTCAGAAAGCAGATTGGGGGTGGGGGAGGCGGCAGGGGGTGCAGGGTAAGGATATCAGTTGCAGAGCCAAGCAGGTGAGGGGTGGATGAGCGTGGGGAGGCCACGGGGAGCCGCGTTGGGGTGGGGGTGAGGGCAGGTCTCCAACCCTACCCTTCTCGGCCCCGCAGCCCGCAGGCTGGCCAGGTGCAGCTGAGCTCCACAGATGTCCTGTACCCTCGGGCGGCAGGTGTGCCCCTGGCACAACCACTGGTGGAGCACTACGTGCCCCGGGGGGGCCTGGACCCCAACATGCCTGTCATCGTCAACACCTGCAGCCTCAGAGAGGAGAGCGAGGGCGCGGAGGACAGGCACTCAGTGGCCGATGGCGAGATGTACCGGTACAGCGAGGAGGAAGACTCCGAGGGCGAGGAGAAGAGTGACGGGGAGCTGGTGGTGCTCACGGACTAAACCTGGTGGCCACCGTGCGCTGCGCTGCCCCTTCTTTGGAAAAGACCTAGTTCCCCAACCTGAGGGGCACAGCTAGCCAACCTGGACTCGATTGGTACTTGGACTTGGACGTGCCAGGGAGATGGGCGCAGCTGTGCACCTGTAGATACATTCACGAGAGGCGCTGCCTCTTCTCCATCACACCTGAGGCACTGGCTGTTCACCTCGGTGGATGGGGCTGCGTGGCGGGGATGGGCTGAGCTGGCAGAACTCCTTGGTCCTGAGGCTTATGACCAGGGGACGTGGTAGGACCATCCCTCCTGCAAGTCTACCCTGCTGAGGGTACAGCCGCTGCAGACCTGTCCGCTGGGACCACATGCTTCTCCTCTCCACCGCTGTCCTGGCTGGGCCAGCTTCCGTGGGACCAGGACTCGCTCCCACACACACACCTCCAGTCACTCCTCTGTCTCCAGGATCACTTTGTACTTTGTGTGCAAGGGCCTGGCTGTTCCTTGCTGTCCTTTTTTCCTGCCAAGCCCATTGTGCCTCTGGCTGCTGTGTATGTGTGTGTGTATGTGAGTGTTCACCTGTCCATTCACTGCACAAGATATTTATTGCGTGCCACTGTTGCTGAGTTCCTGTGGGTGTGTCTGTCAGTGCCACTCTTGCTTCTCTGGGGGCCTCTTTCTGTGCCTCTCCATGTCCCCAAATTGCTACCTCTCTGTCAGTCTGGGTGTCTCAGGTTCTCTGTATCCTTGTGTGCATCAGCCTCTGCTCCTTCTCTGCAGGGCCTGTTCCTCTTTCCTGACCTGGATGTCTGTTCTTGCCCCCTCTGGAGTCTGGGTCTCTGCAGGCCCCTCCCTGAGCTGGGCCTATCAGCCTCTCTGACCTTCTTCTGCTCTCCCCCTTCACTTCCTCTCCTTCTCTGCCACTCCATTCCCACAGAGCCATTTTTAGCTCCAAGCCTGGGAACCTGGGGCAGGGGCGTGGGGGCAGGAGGCAACAGAGGCCCTGGAGAACAGGGATCTCCTGGCCTCCATTCCATCCTCATGAGCTGGGGGTCGGGGCTCCCCATTCTTGGGAGACTTACTCCCTCATCATCCTCTCCCAACCCCAGACTCCCACTGTCTCTTCCTCCCTTCTACGTCACTCTAGGTAAGGTGTCTGCCCCAGATCAAGTACCAATGGAGCTTCACCCCCAAGATATGGGGTCAGAGTGGGAAGGGAACCCCACATCCCCCAGGGGCAGACACAAAGCCTGTGCCTGCACCCCCATCCCCTCCTCTCCCCACTACCCTAGTACCTCTTCTCTCCAAGCTCCCATGACTCCCCAGGCTGTTTCTTTTTTATGACTGTAAACATAGATAGTGCTTTATTTTGTTAATAATAAGATGAGTAACTTAACCAGCACATTTCTCCTGTTTACACGGGGAGGGGTGGGAATGGGGGAATGGGAGGGAGGAGGAACTTTTCTGTGTTCTGCTGGGCATAATAAAGACAGACCATTTCAGAATCTGACCCTTGAGCAAGGAAAGTGGGGGGAGAGGCTGGCCTAAACCAAGAAGCCTAAATGTGCCACCAGCCCGGGCAACACTGCCCCCTCGTGGCTGTTTGCAGGAGCTTCAGGCGTGGGGCCGGGGAGGCTCTGGCCCTGGAAAGGCAGGCCAAGCTGGGGAGTGCCAGACCTCAAGTGCAGAGCCCACCATGAGTTCCTAAGACACTTCCCTGCCTTAATCTGTAAGTGTCCACCCGGGTTATAAAGAAAAAGAGGGCTATCCAGAAGCTTGAGAGCTTGTCCAAACTCACCACCCTGCCTCGAGGGAGTCAGGTCTCCACTGGGTCTCAATGCCCTCAGCTGAAAACAAGCCTTTTAGGAAGCTCTGTAGTCATCATCCCATAGGAGGAACTGCTTGGAGTCCCCCAGTTTCTCGTGGGGAATCTTTCCACTCCTGGAGGGTCAGTGATGAGTCAGAAGTGGTCAGAAATGAAGAGTTCCCCCCACCCCCAGTCTTTAGAGACACAGAAGCTTTGGGTTTTCATCCCCAAAGTGTCTCCCGGGCATACCTCCAAAGCCCATTTATTTATGTGATGTCCTTCCTCAATGCTGATTATTCAGTCAGGGTCTATAATCATGTGCTTTAAGACTCTGTCAATGACCTTGTATTTTGAAGGAGATTATCAGACACCAGGAGCAAAATGCAGATTGAGGATGGCTAAAAGATTGAATCTTTGGTTAAAAACATTAATCCCACTGCAGCAAAACTGAGTGAAAGAGCTTCTTGTGGAAGAACTGGGCTTGCTAACAAGTCTGATCAAGCCTTGGGCTGCATTAATGGAGGCCTTTGTCCACAACAGAGGAGGTGATGCCTACCACACAGGCCTGGTCATAGGTGCATCAGGCTGGTTCTAGCCCCTCATTAGAAAAGACCATTGTCAAACAGGGCAAGCTTAATGGACATGCTCTTTAGAAAAGTACCCCAGAGGACCAGGGATGTTCAGAAGGGAGGAGACTAGGATAGGCGGAAGGGGCAAGGATGCTTTCTTCAAAGCTGCCTGGTGAGCACGGGTATTGACACTGTGTAGCTCCTGAGGTACAACTTGGGCTCACAGTTTAAATTCTCAGTGGTATTTTGGCTTGACATAAAGAACTGCTTTTCAACAAAGAAGCCGACTTGCCAACTCAAGCAATTGGACAAAGGCTCTTGAATACTGGAAAAATAATTTTTTTTTTCACAAAAAACACTGGAATTAGTCAAGTGAAGGACATTTTATATAAAATTTAAACATTTCTAAAAAGACATAGAAGTTTTAAATTAAAAGGGAGGCACATACTTGGTTTAACACACGTTCTTGGGGGCCTTATTTTCAAGAGCACAGTTTTAATGTACACTTCCAACCTTAGATGAGATGGAAAAAAGTATTTTTAACTTGAAGAGGGTGTTGGTGGGTGAAGGCATGTGTAGTTGAGTCCAAAGCCATAAGCTTTGTTTTAGGTGCTGTCGAGAATGAGATGCATCGTGACTCTGAACAACGGACCTGAACCCTGCCCAATCCTGTGCCGTCCTCAGTCTCTGACCCACTGGAGCCCGTAGCCGCCGTCACTGTGTCAGTCCACCTGGCTGAGGGTCTTCCTCTCCTTTGCCAAGCCTCCACCTTCCCAAGCATGATGTCTTTCTCTAAGGAATAGCCTCTTAGCAACATGCCCAAAGTGTGTGAGACGTAGCTTTAGCATCTCTGCCTCTAAGGAGCACGCTGGCCCTGCTGACTTGGAGAATGTAATGGTTGTTAGACTTTGGTGCCTTGGCTTTTCCAGCCCAGCCACCTGAGCACTGTGGCTCCTCTTCTGCCCTGTCCACCCTGCATCTCCTGGCCAAGCACTAGAGCTCAGGGGCCCGGGCCCTTGTGCCGAGAGGAGTAGGCAGCCTGGGGCGCCTCCCCTCTAGTGGCCACCTGAGAGAATGGCATGTCAACCCTATCCCTTACTGGGTTTCAAACTAAATCTGGACAGGCTTCTTAGGATTCTCCCACGGTGGCTCAGCCTTGCATCCTAGTCCAGGTCCTCTATAGATGAGGACAGGTGAACTGCAGAGGCAGGGAACCGAATGTCCTGGTCATTTACCAGGGAGAATGAGGCACAAATTTGCTCTTGGTCCAGTTCTGCAAAAGCCAAAGCTCAGACTCATTGGGGAGAGGAAGCTCTGCATGGAGTCCTCTGTCCTGAGCGCCAGCTAAGGCCCTCAGCTGGAGGCGCAGATGTTCAACTCCGACTTCTCCAGCATCGAGGCCCCTCCAAGGCCTGGCATACCGGAGAAGAATGCAGGGTGCTGGACGGTCTAGGGGCAGCGAAGGCCAAGACCTTGTGGGAGGACTGAGGAATGTGAGTGGTTTCTCTACAAGCCATTGGGACGGCATCTGCTGTTGACCCTGTGGGGGTGGGTGTGTCAGGAACACAGACGGGATCCAGGGTCGTGTTCCAACCCTTCTCTGCTCACTACTGCATCAGGCTCACAGTTTGAGGGCAAGGCCACCGGGCTGGAGACTCCACTGTCTTCATGTAAGTTACTTCCCCCACTATTCACCACCACCACCCCTACAAAGCTCCAGAGAGCTGGGAACAAGGGGTGGAGATGCTGCTTAAAATAACACCAGCTCAGTGTCCACAGGAAGGCCGTGGCCATGACCACCCTGGGTGGCCCTGAATGACAGCCACCTGTGGGGATCCCCACGACCTTTAAGGCCCTGTGGCTGCAGCCAGAACCAGCAGTTCTCATGGCAGCTGGTACTTCTACAGGCAAAACCAAGCAGCCAGCATGCTGGGCAAGCTCTTGGGGGGCTGCTTAGGGGCACCCCTCCCCTCCTTTGCATTTCTGCACTCCCCGCCCTCCGACCTTTGAAGTGCCACTTCCAGAGGTCCATCATCCTTGTCCACTGTGTGAGGCAGGGCAACGACTCCCTTCACACCCAGCAGCTAGGAACGACAAGTGAGCAAAACCATGTCCCAAATGTGGATTTGGTAGTTCAATGGTTCGGGACCCAGGTGAGGTCCAAGTTCTTCTGCTACCGTGACCTCCTCGTAGGCAGCACTCTTGCAGGCTCAACTAGCAAGACAACAAGGCATTCTGGAGCCTGAGCTGGGAGCTGGGGGCCCATGGTGGTGAGACACGATGTGTGCACACCTGACTCGGCACCTAACTCAGTGTCGAGGGAAGCATTGGACCCCACCACAGGCAGGTGCATTCACACAAAGACCAGTTCCAGAAATGGCTGTTTTAATGACGAAAACCATGATAATTTACAAATGAATCACTTTCTAGCCCAGAGTCGAGAGGCTCCCAGGAGGAGCTGTAAGGGCAAAAGAGAGGGTGGAGGCCAATGAGTGTCAAGGGGAAACCAGCTCGGCACCCCCATGATCTCAGTCCTTCAGAACAGCCTCTCTCATGTGCTGAGGCCAGGGGTCCCTGGTACCCACCCTGGACTCCTAGCAGTCAGTCCCCAGTGGGAAGATCTGGGGTCAACTTCAGGATAGAGACTGAAGCTGGAAAGCAGACCTTTGCCAATGAGGGCCTGGGATGGGCAGGGAATGAGGCAGGAGTCACCCCACCTTGGCAATGTTCCCCCAGCAAAGCCTGAATGCTGAGCAGAGCTGCGCTTTGGAGACAAGAGACTTCCGTCCCCTTTGCTTCTCTCCCAGCAGGCTGTGGAGGGACAGAACAGAAAGGACACTAGCAGGGAGGGGGTCACTTGACTAGATCGGACTTGAGGAAAGAAGGGTCAGGGGGCTGCTGGAGGAGCCATCAGCCTGACTGTAGACCTCGAGTTACATACATCCATCTGTCAGAGTTGGCAGAATGCTGGCTTGGGGTGCAGCACCTCCCACACAGGGGGTGCAGGGGAAAAGGCTGGAGGCTCGGGCACTGGAGGTAGAAAAAAGCCTTCCCCTTTGCCCCAAGCCAGCAAGGTCAGAGATCCATCTAAGGCAGCCCGGACTCCAGCACGACCTGGGGCTGGGAATGCCATGCTTCCCAGGAGTGGTGTGTCCTGGCCCCTGAAGCGGGTAGCTCTCTACAGGCACTTCCCCCCAAGCCTGAGGAGATGAAGGGACCTCCCAGCCCAGAACCAGGTCCTATCAGCCCCTCCAAATAGGAGGATGAGGTTGAGAGTGGCAGTCGCTGGAGGGCCAGCTGCAGGGATGAAGCCTCCTCCCTGGACACCCTGTCCCACCCTGGTCAAAGGTGTAGCCCCCCAGAGCAGAACCAAGCCCTGGCCAGAGAGAAGGGGAGGGGAAGCTGGTCACTTTGGCATCTCCAAGGCCATCACTTGAGGCTTCACCTTGAAGTACTGGTTGAATCGGATCACGGCGTACCTGCCAGAAGACAGGGAAGGAAGCTAGAGATGAGAAGGAAAGGAGGAGGGGGCCCGATTGGGGTGGTGGTGGCGTAGCATCAGCTTTAAGACTATGGAGGCTCAAGTCAAGTCTGGAGAGGCCAACCCATCTCCAGGCTGATGTAAGGCAGGGAGTAACTCAGTCACACCCCCACTGCATCCCTGCAAGAACCAGCGTGCCCTTTGAGCTTGGTGTCAAAACTCTAGAACCAAATAAAAATTGTTGTTATGTGTCTGGAGTTGCTTGCAAGTCACAGCGACCCTATGTACAATAGCCCTGAAACCTGCTGTCTCTGACATACCTTCACCCACTACCCTAGTCACCGAGTCAATCCATCTCATCGAGGGTCTTCCGTTCTTATACTGTCTCTCTACCCTCCAAAGCATGATGTCCCTATCCAAGGACTGATCCCTCCTTGCAACATATGTCCAAAATATGTCAGACGAAGTCTCAGAATCCTTGCTTCCAAGGAGCAGCCTGGCTTTAGCCTCTCCAGGACAAATCTGTTTGCTTTCCTGATATATTCAATACTCTTCTTCAACACCATAGCTCAAAGGCATAAGTTCTCTTTCTATCATCTCTAGTCATTGTCCAACCTTCTGACTAATAGCAAGCAATTGTGAAGACTATGGCCTGGATTAGACACACCTTAGTGACCAGACTGACACTGTTGCTCTTTAGTACTCTGGAGAGGTCCCTGACAGCAGACTTTCCAAATGCAATTCATCTGCTGATTTCCTGGCTGCTGGTACCAAAAGTGTTGATTGTGGACCCAAGCAAGTTGAAATTGTAGGCAATCTTTATCCCCTCTCCACCTATCATGGTGCTGCCAATTGGTCCAGTGGTGCGAATCTTTGTTTTCTTGATGTTGAGCTTCAATCCATATTGGAGGCTGCAGTGCTTGACTTTCTGCAGCAAGTGCTTAAGTCCTCCTCAGTTTCAGCAAGGAAGGGTGTGTCGTCTGCATAACATAGACTGCTGAGTCTTCCTCAAATCCTGATGCCACATTCCTCATAGAGCCCAGCCTCCCAGATGATGTGTTCTGCATGTAGATTGAAAAGGTATGGAGATAGGACACATACTGGCATATACCCTTCCTGATTTTGAACCATGCAGTGTGTCCTTGCTCTGTTCTAATGACTGCCTCCTGGTCCAAGTATTAAGCGCAATCTAGGATTCCCATTCTTCTCAAATCTAACCACATGCTGTGATCCACACAGTCAAATGCCTTTGTATAGTCAATGAAACACAGACATTCCTCTGGTACCAAAAAAAAAAATTTACAAAATCTCAACAGACTTTGGACAAGGCAGTTATTTTCTTTCAGCTGAGGGTGCGCGTGGTTGGGAAAGTGGGACTGGACGTATCCCTTGTGTGAGAATGTCAGTACTGGGGAGCTCCCAGCTGCAAGCATAGCCCAGGCATCCTCACTAGTCTAAGAGACACTGAGCGAGGAGCTGGGCCTGCACACCCCCAGGCAGGAACGCGACACAGGAACCACCAAATCGCCCCAGTGACTCCCACAGTCACTTAGCTCCTCCAGACTGTCTGCTCTCCTCTCACCGAGGTTGGATGCATGATCTTTCAGACCTTCTCTCATTCACCTCCAGGCTCTATGGACAAGCGGCAGGGTGAGGGAGACGGCCAGGCAGGGATGGTGGCAGTGGGAACGGGGAGCAGTGGGACATCCTACTAGACATGAGATTTAGGAGGGGAAGGAGACAGGGCCCTGGTTCTATGTCTAGAGGGGTGCCCTTGGCTCACCACATCCACAAGTCTCCCCTGGAAGAGCAACCCCACTGGACTGCACTTTGCCCCCACATCTGAGGGGTCTCACAAGGCTCAGGCTCCTTCCCTACCTGGCTTGTTGCTAGAACTCACCTGAGGAAATCAAAGTCGATGGTGGAGTACTGGTTCTGGATGAGGGCCCAGAGCGCCCAGAGGAAGTGAGAAGCCTGGAAATAGACTTGAGAGGGTCAGTGTGGCCATCCCCCTGCACCTGGACCCCACCAAGCCAGAGGGACACAAGGACTCTAGGAGATACAGAGCTGGGAAGCAGGCTGTCCCCTGGTAGGGCTCCTGCAGCACAGGTAGGGGCAATTCGTGGAGTCAGGTTAACAGCATTTGGGGCTCCAGTCCCACTGGAAAAGAGGCCAAGAGCTGGTTCCCTGGGTCCAAGGTGTCTGCCTGCTCATAGGGCCTGACAGGAACAGCAAAACGTCGTTCCACATTCTAGCCTGAGCAGGGTCCAAACTCTACCCAGGGAGGTCTGCTGAGTCTCAAGGCTAAGGTATGTAGGAGAAGAGGACTCTTCGGACCAAACTCAGGCCCAGTGGCCAGTGGGGAGGGGCTGGGAAGCCTCAAGAGACGTAGAGAAGAATGACGGGCAGCCACTGACTGCCAGGTCAGCTGGGGTCAGGTCTGAGGGGCAGGCCCGCGCACTGCCCTCTCCTCCTCAGACCCTCTCCCTCTACTGGGGGCAAGGTAGCAACTTAGGAGACCCAAGTCTGGGCCGGGAGCAGGCCTTCTCTCTCTCTAATCTGCCATCAAGGCAGAGCTGACCCATAGCAGACCCTCCAGCACGGAGGCTGTAAGTAAGTCACAAGAGAAGGCCACCCCATCTTTCTTCCCAAGGAGTTACTGGCAGATTCGAACTGCCAGAGAAGCTAGGCCGTTGGGTCGGCAGTACAATTCCTTAGGGACTAGATGACCAAAGTGTGCTGGCCCAAGCACTGGCTCTGGTTCTCAGTGGCCGGCGGTGCCCTGAGGCTAAGAAGTCAGATAGAGGTGGTTCTCAGGTCCCTGAACCCACAGCAGGGACACCGTCATCATTTTCACAGGCAGGGGTCCCCCCACCTGTCAGGATCTCCTACCCCCATCCGGCTCACTCAGGGGACTAAGCAGAAAGTACTCTGCTCTCTTTTCGTGACTTAAAAGAAGGGGCAGGAGTTAATTAGCAAGTACAGCTGATCAGAATCCCAGGGTGGTGCGAATGGCTAACATGCTCAGCTGTAAACCGAGGCACTGAAGCTGCAAGTCCACCTGGAAGCCCCTCGGAAGAAAAGGGTGGCAATCTCCTTCTGAAAATCCAGCCCCAGAAAACCTTATGGAGCACAGTTCTACTCGGACTCACAGGGGCTCACAAGTCCCACTCAACTTGACAGCAAATGGTCTACTCTCTGGAAAGGGTCAAAGATTACTTAGCAAGTATGTCTGAGCCCTAAAAAAAAAAGTCTATCAAGAGGGTGATGTGGGTAGAACACTTAGGAGGAAGAGCATGAGGTAGGATCAGTGCCAAAAAAGAACGAACAGGCAGCAGGCGATTTAAAATCACACCTCAGGAGAGATGCCGAGACCAAGCTCTGCGTCTGCAACATGTTGTGGCACCAGGACAGCTGACTGCGAGGCTGGTAGCAGCAAGGCTAGCTAGCAATCCTCTGGGCCAATGCCAGCTGAGACCTGGCACGAAGACCTACGTGAGTGGCACTCACAGTCAAGGCTTGACAGCAGGGTCTTTGGAGCAGGGAGAGCCTGCTGGGAAAGGCTTAGCGCGAGTCAGAGGTGCAGTTCACCAGGAGGATTAACGCCCGACAGTCTCTAATTCCTCCAAAAGCAAAACCAAAAGGAGACAGGCATCCATGCATCACGAAAGACTGAGGTCAGACAGCAGAACGAACTACCTGTCCAAACTAGAGAACTGCTAAAAATAGGAAGCTGAGGAAGGTAATAATCTTTCTTTGAATTCATCCTCTATGAAAGACAGAAGCTAGACTTGCCGATGGCCTAGGGGGTAGGGAGTTGTGCTGCCAACCTAAAAGGCACATGGTTCAAATCCACGAGTTGCTCAATAGGCAATCTCCTCCCGTGCAACTTACAGCCTCTGAAAACTTGCTGGAGGGTTAGTCAAGAGTAGATTCCAACTCAACAGCATGTAACAGTAGACTTAATGGGGGAGCAGGGGACAGGCCACATTAGTAGTGAAGGGACAGTTAAAACGACTTCTCTGGCTTCACCTCTGAGGAAGCCATTGCAGCATGATGGGTGTTCCTGGACCTCAGGCCCTGGTACTGTCTCCTTCTCTCCCATCACAAAGCCTAGAAAGAGTCCCAGCCTTTTCCTGACCCCCTTGGCATTAGTGTCCCGCACCCCTCTCCAGGCACAGGCTCTCACCAGGGCAAACTTGTTGACCTGCACGTAGAGCTTCTCCACCTCCCTGGGGGTCACAGCCGCACCCCTCTGCGCCTGCAGGTAGTAGTGCAGCCATTGCAGCTGAGTCTCCCGTGATGGGTACCGACAGTAATCCACTTCATTCACACCTGGTGGGAAGCAGACGAGAGGGGCCTGCTGGAAGGAGCCCCACTCCTGGGTCTCCTCCAGCTCAGTGATGACTCCAAGCCGCCCCCTCCTGTGACTGTGAGCCCATTTCAAAGAGGAAGCCCTGGGAATGCAGACTGACCAGCAAAGCTACCCTCCATGTGGAGGGGCTGTGCCCACCCCTGGTGGAGGTCGGCTTCAGGGGGGGTTAGTGTACAGAAAGAGGACCGGAAAGGCATGGCCGGGGAGTGCCAGGGCCCCCCTCGCGGCAGGATGTGGTGCAAAACTATGGCTCAAACACTAAACCCAAGGATCTAGACATCTTGGATCCAATGCTAACCTCCATCTGAACCTAGACAACACTTCAAAAATAAAACCAGCCACCATCAAGTCAATTCTGGCCACTTCCCCAAGTGTGTCAGCGTACAACTGCTCTCTGGGGTTTCCAGGAGCCGAATGCCAGGCCTTTCTTCCGAGGTGCCTCTGACTCCCAGTCAAGAGCTTAGCTGTTTGTACCTCCCAGAGTTGCTCCTTTCTCCCGGTTGACTTTAGCTTCCTTATCTGTCACACAAAGGTGCTGGACGTGACGTGTGAGTGGCAAGCACTGCTCCTCACATCAGTGCTGAGGTGGTGGATACTTAGAAACCTCATCTGGAGAACTCAGTGAGTGTCCTGGCTCCCAAGTATCCCCAGCCCCATCCAATTCTCTAGATGATTTGGACATTGGCTAAGCTTGAAACTCCTAGGCTAGATGGCACTGTGACCTCGTAGACCTGCCATCCCAGGAGTCTAGACACTGCCAGCCAGCACATGCCAACCACAATAGAGTGTCTAAATAGAAAATAGAAACTAATGAGGCCCACACTGCTTAATCCAACACGGTTAGTTCTTTATTATTATTATTATTACTATTATTATTTTATTATTATGTGTACCGTCAAATCGGATCTGACTGGTACAGGAGGAGACTGTCCCTCCTTCTCCAGCAGAGCATCTGGTGGATTTGAACTGTGCACCTCTGGGATTGCAGTGCAGCTTGTTGCCACTAGGCTACCAAAGCTCCCTTAGTCTTCTTTTCTTATCATGGGGCTGGTTTACTAGCTTGCTGTTGTTGCTGAAAGCCTGTGTGGTGTTGGCTCCACACTCAGGACAATCCTATTAACCACTGTGTCCTATGGTCCTGACCCTGAGTGGTGGCAGAGATCACGGGCTCAGGAAGAGCTAAGAGCTGGTACAGGAAGAAATGGTCTATTGATGGTCTACTGATAGAGTCCAGCTTTATGACAGGCCTAGGACGAAGTCTAGGCCCAAGGCATGTGGTTCAAAACCTCCAGCTGCTCTGTGGGAGAAAAATGGGCAGCCTCGTCCCACGCAATTTACTGCCGCTGAAAACCCACTGGAGGGTCAGCTCTTGGTTGGTTCTGACTCGATGGCACACAGCAACATCAACCGGACTAAGTCACGTTCCCCTGGGTCTTGTCTTTACTTCATGTCCTTCCCAAGTATCCCTTGTATTCCTGGCTTGTCTTTGGCAAATACTTAATTTATGGCTGGATGTGGGAATGGAGTGGGAATTCTCACGTCCCAGAGCCCAGCCTAGCATCTCCCTTAGTCCTGGGAACCCAGGAGGTCCCCCTCTCTAGCTCCTCCCCGTCTCTCCTGCCCTCCCTCTTCTCCCCCTGCTACTTCCTCCTCCCTTCTCAGCTTGGGAGCAGCACACAGGCTTCCCTTTTGGAGACATTCCAGCTGGACTTTGCTCTGTGTGGTGGGTTAGGACTGAAATGCCTAAGAATGGTCCTTCCTGGGAAGGCTGTGGGCTGGCAGTGGGGCGCTCAGAAGGCGCAGTGCCTTGCCGTGCCAGCCTCTGCTCCAGGCCCCACCCCACAGCTCAGATGAGCTGCCCAGCTAAGGCCCCAGCATCCCTCGGAGTTCCTAGGTGCAGCTGGTGGCCGCCCCAGGGAGGCACACCCTCAGGTATGATCAGTGCTTAACAGATCTGGTTGCCTGGGGTTCTGGAAAGGACACGGTTGACTTGGGTTTCTACTGGAGAGTGGTGAAGGCTAGGTGAGGGGGTGACTCTCGTAGGAGAGAGCTGTGCTGCTAACCCAAAGGGGTCTTCTCTGGTGGTTCAAATCCACCAGCAGCTACTTGGGAGCAAGATATGCAATCTCCTTGTGCAAACAGCCTCCAAAAACATGCTGGATGGTCAGCTGTGAATCTTTTATAACTCAGTGGCGATGTGTGAGTGAGTTATCTTAAGCCTGTATGGCGGGACACACATCATGTGGAGCACCCCAAATGCCAGGTGAGGAAGTCCCTCCAACCCTCGAACACAGCTCCACCCCTGAGTTGCCTTCTGAGGCCTATCTAATTATTTCTTATTTTCAACAGTTAAGCCCTCAAGCTGGAAAAACCTGCCCTGCTTCCTTTCCACAAACGGCTCCTTTGTCCGGAGCACAGCCTGACAGAACAATTGCTGAACCCTAGCAAACATTCCCCACATCTAACTTCGTCCATTCAGGTTCATCTCCCCAGCTGCAGGATGGCTTCCGTGCGCAATAACAGCTGCAGACAAATAAAGGAAGCTTGTGTGTGCCAGGTACTACTCAACGTGAACACGGGGTGTAACTGTATCTCAAATCAACACTAAGACATAGATGCTTTATCCTTTCCATTTTATGCAGGCACGATAAAACGGAAGTGTGTGTTAGAAACCTTCCCACGCATCACAGAGCTACCAGGATTTGAACCTGGGGGGGTCAAGTTGCTGAGTGCACAGGTTTAACTAGTTCCATCTCGATTCTTGTCATTAAGCCTCCAGGCACATAGCTATTTCTAGCTTGTTCTGCCCCTTCCCTGCCACAGGACTTGAAGTACAGGTGTGTGTGTTGTCCTGGGCACGAAAAGCTTGGACAGAGGGCAAGTGAGGGCTGACATGGTACTGTGCTGCGCTGGTCAAGCTCGCATGGCTGGGTCTGCCAAGAGGAAGGGAGTCTTTTCCTAACTCATCTGCCAACTCAGCTCCCCTCAGGGACTGGACAGAGGGAACGTCTTCAATTCCCACCGATCTACCACACCAGCCAGCAGAAATCTGGTTTGTGCATGTGGTCCTGACTCCCCATGAGATTTGGGAGTTCTCTGAAGGCAGGCTGGGTCCTCTCCCCTCTGCTTGGATGGCACTCCCAAGGACAGATGCTATGGAATACACCAAGTGCAGGGACCCCGTCAGCCTTCCCCTGGACCTGGCCTTCCATCACGTGGAGGGTGCCCTTACCACAGGATAGAGAGCTCAGCCCGTCTCACCTGCAAACTCATTGAAGTGGTTGCCGATGTCAAATGCTTGGTAGTTATAGTCGGCATATTCATAGTCAATGAACCGCACTTGACCTGTGAGGCAGAGGAGAGGCGATGAGGATGGGTCCCCAAGACCTACAGGCGGCTGGTCGCGCTTCCCTTAGACTTCCGGAATGCACCCGCTGACTCTCAGTTCCCCATCTGAACCCAACCTCCTCTTCAACAATCTTCTAAGGTACTTCCTTCCATCTGCTGACTGGTCCTTCTCCACCCTCAGGCTCTCCCCATCTAAAAACATCTGTCCTCAGCATGGCTGGGGATTAGACATAAAGCTAAGTACTCCCTGGGGGTGAAGCTCTCTGTGAAGGGCTTGGGCCAGCCAAGATGGACCTAGAAGCTCAAGGAGCTCTTGCGAGGAATGGCTTGGGTGCCCTAACATTGAAGATCTCCATAAATCATGTATTTTCATTCTTTCTAGATAGATTTTTGTCTGTGTGGGAATGTCCGCTTCCCTTCCCTCTCGTTTCCTTTGAGATACAAATTAGACCCTGAACTAGAATGTCCCTAGCGTGTCCAGGAGCCAGCCTGTCAGCCGGCTCATGCTCTGCTGCTCCCGGCGAGCCCCATCCTACCTTTGGTGCTGTCGTAGATGATATTCTTGCAGAGCAGGTCATTGTGACAGAACACCACAGGGGAGTCCAACTGGGACAGGTGCTCCTTCAGCCAGGCCAGTTCCTGTTCCAGCACCTCCACCTTAGGGATGTCTGCAGACAGGCTGGAGGGAGGCAAGAGGGTGGCTGGTGGACAGAGGGCGGCAGCAGATGGGCAGCGCTGGTTCTCAGGAGCCGGGGCCTCGATCCCCTCCCTATGTTTAACTGCAGAGGCTGAGGCAGGTCCTGCTGACTGACTCACAGCAGCCCCATGGACCACAGGAGAGCTGTCCCATAGCGTTTTACCATAGCAGATCCCCACCCTTCTAGGCTTTTGGCTGGCAGATAAGCAATTTAGTTTTTGTGACACCAGGGCTCTGTTACTGCAGAGGGACCTTGGGAAAATGGGCCACCTTCAGACTTTCATCTTTGGATTTCTGTTCTGACTGTATAATTACCAAGACAAGCACAGTACTTGAATAGGTGAAGGTAAGGAATAGATATGATTAGCAATGGTGAACAAGGTGTGCATTACAAAGTGAACTGGGGAAAGGAGGGAAATGTATCAATGAATGAATGAAAACCCATTCTTCCCATAAACTGTCACAAAAATCACAGTGTTTTTAAAAGGAAATTAAAACATGGGCCGAAAAGCATCATGCAAAACGTAAAAGTTACTGGCGGAATGGCATCCTTGCTGTGAAGCGTAAGGAAGAGAGGCCCAGGGAAGAGAAGATGGGACGAGTATCCAAACTCAGTTACCCCAGACTGAGAGGTAACAGGACCAACACAGAGAGAAGCAGAACAGGCCTGTTCTCAGAACATTGTAGACAGAGTGACTCTAAAATCAGTCTCTTCCCAAAGTTCCTTCAACAGAGGACAGCAGCACCCCAGGAGGGCCTGGGATGAGGGAGGGAGCTCTCAAGGAGGCCGTGATAAGGCCTGGCCAGGGGGGCCCCACACTTCAGCAGCTCAGGGTGTCACAGGTGGGAGAGCCCACAGCCAGCCTCTGGTCTTCTCATCTCACAGACAGCGGCCCTTCCAGTCACACACATCCACACAAAAAAGAAAAAGCTGACTAATCATTCCCTGAGCTCATGCCTACAAAGTCAAACTCACTGCCATCAAGGCAATTCTAATTCCTCCAAACCAAACCAAAACATTCTGATCAAAAAGGGAAAGATAAGTAGCAGAATTTGAAATCTCCACACAACCAAGAGTTTCTGGAGCCTTGGAGTCAAATGCATCCCTTCCCCAAGCCCCACCCAGCTGAGAAAATCTTTAAATCCTGGACTGAAATGATGTCTTAAAATTATTTGAGCCAATTAATAAACTGTTGTTGCTGAGTGCCATCAGGTTAGAACTGACTCATAGCTGACCGTCCCCCACCCCCACCCCGTGGGTTTGCATGGGAGGACATTGCCCATCCTGCTCCCAGGAGTAGCTGGTGGATTTGAACTGTATGTCTTCGGGCTTGTAGCACAGCTTCTTACCACCAGAGCTCCCTATCCAGCTTAATTAAAAAAGAACATTGGTATTAAGTAGCATAGTCTGAAAGAACTTCACATATGTAGGGACCAAACTGACAAAGTAACCTGAAAGGTTAGATGAGAGGCTTAAGGAGCAACAGCTCTGTGTTAACATGACAGAACAGCCTGAAAAAGGCTGTCAAAAACAGTGGCACAACTGCACATCTGTATGTGCAGAAATTATTGTATTGGTCTCTGTATTAGTTTCCACCAAAATCCCCACAAAACAACAAAACAAAAAGGAAATAAACCCAATGAGATGCTGCAGAACAGATTCTGTCTCCCAGGCACCCACATGTCCCAGTGCACTGTGTTCACAGATTTTTAGTGGCTGATTTTTCTGGGGTTGATTCATCTAGCCTTTCTAATGAGTCCCCTCTGGGTAGACTCGAACCTTTATTCTATCAGTTGTTATATAAGGGCCTTTAAACCATCTCAACTCCTCAGGAGAAAGAGAGGCAAGCTCCTTGAGAGCAAGCACAGAGATGCACTGGCAGTGCCCTTCCTCCCATCCCACCCCGACCCCATGGCACACAGCATGCATTCATGCTCAAAGGCACATCTGCTGAAGCACACGAAGGGTTTGGTCAGCCCACGGGGGCATCAGAGACCTAAAGCAGCTTGGTGAGGAAACAGCGTGCTTGGACTGCTGCACTTTGGCTCCCGGGTATATGGTGCACATAGGCCTGTGAACACTGCAAATGTCAAACAGCACACCCCTTACCGGCCCAGAGCGACCAATGGGTGAAGGGGAAGCGGCTTGGACTCCACGTCCACGCAGGTGCCCCTGTTCATGTTTCATTAGCCAGGGCAACAAGAGCCCATGAGAGAGGATGAGGAGGAAACAGACTTTTCACCTTCCACAGAGCAGATCACTCTGAGTCTGAATGCAGGGAATGAGTGAGTCACCGACGGTCCAGGTCCCTGGCTAAAAGACAAAGAGTGGACAGACTCCCTCCAAGCCTGGAGACCATGTCCCAGAGTCACAGACTCAGAAGAGGCCAAAGCTCAGGAGGATCTTAGATCATTTAATCCAACTCTGGGGAAACTGAGACTTGGGGAAGGGGAGAAGCTTCCTCTCAGCCTTCAGATGGGTCTCCAAAGCTGGCTCCTCCTTGTCCTTATCACAGGATCTGAAATCAAGCTGTCTCCTGAGGGCGAGGCCTGCCAGTCTCCCTGAAGACATGTGTGTACCCCAGAGGCTCAGGAGCAGCCAGTCCTGGTCCAGCTCAGTGGGAAGCCCCCCACTTATCCTCATTAGCACTTATCTGTGATGACATGGCTGCATTAGCATTTCAATCTTGGCTCTCCTTCAAAAGCTACCTTTTTTATTTTCTTCTTTCTTGGATTCAGATAATCAAAAGATAAAAATTAGGGGGCTTCCTTTAGTTTGCTCCAGCCTGTCTCTGATATCCAACATGCCTGCTGCCCAGATCCAGCCCTCTTTCTGACTCCCACTCAACCCTCCCCCAAGGCCACGCAGATGGTCACTGTGGGAACAGCCCGGGCCTTTTCGCTCCCGGGAGCCTTCCTGAGCTGAGGGCTGTCCTCCTCTGAGCACCTGAACCACTGCCAGCTCCTCCACCTTCAGTTCTGCCACCCACGAGCAGATACTTTCAAGGCTGTGGGGCTGGCAGAGAGCACAGGCAGTCCACGGGCTGCAAACCTCTGACTCAGGACTCCTCAGTGCTCCGGGGACAACCTGTGCTTATGAACCACCTGCCATTAGGTTTATTATATTATAGAGACAAGGTACAGACGGCAGTTGGTAATAACAAATGGGTGTTATTTTGTAACAAGCATCAAAACACTATTATTATTACTATAGTATTACAGTAAAGATGTTTTAGTGCACCTAGAAGTATTTAACATTTTTCAACACATAAAAGGTCTTGCTATTATTGTTGCTGTAACCATTGAGTCGGAGCCAACCCATAGCTGACCCTCCTGCAAGTTTTCAGAGGCAGTTAATCTCAAGGGTGGAGACTGCCCATCTTCCCATGGAGCAGCTGGTGGCCTCGAACCGCGTGCCTTTGGGATTGCAGCGCAGCTTCCTACCACCAGGACCACAAGAGCTCCCAAGAAGGTCTTAGAGATACTAAAACAAATGCCTGACTAATTTGCGTTAGGTATGTACGTACATAAAATTTTGACTTCAAGACATGTAGGAGCGCTATTTGTTGAAGCTAGCTGTACCACACTGCATCAGAGAAGTATGCACATCCCAGACAGCAGCTTTTCCTCCGCCAGCCCCCCAGGAACAGGAGGATGTCATCAAGGGCCTGGGGCCTCCCTAGGAATGCCTGCCATGAGGTTCCTCCTATGAAGGGCCTGGTACTCCACAAGCCTTCTCCCCAACTCTTAGGACCCCTCAAAGTGTGGACAGGGAGAAGTACCTTCTTCCTACAGCACGCATCCCAAGTGTTCAAGCTTACTAACTCATCATCTTTATCTTCATTGCGACCAACCAGCATCTCTTTTTTAGAAAAACCAAACAAAAACCAAACTTCTTAATGTGATTTGAATGAAAATCAACAGAGAAAATTTGGTTTCCATTCAACAGTTCAAACACATGATGTTTTGTGACACACTGAAACAGCACCCTTCCCACGTCTCCCTGGGCTCCTCTTCCTTCCTGCTCCTTTGTTTATGAGGCCAATGTAGTCCTTTTGATCTCGGACAGTTGACCGTCCTAAGGAGCCAGTACCTCCTCTCAAATCAGTTACCAGCCTCACACCCTCCCAGCCATCTCCATGGCCAACCTCTACTTCTAACCAAATACTCAGAATGCCAAGAGCCTTTTCACAAGGTCTCTAAAACAGCCCAGTATTCTGTGTCTCTTCTGTAAACACCCCTGTATGTCTGTTCTGCTGACAAAGCTGCCCTAAGGCAACTTGACCATCTGCCTCAGGATCACCCACAGTGTCTGTGAAATTACAGATGTTTGGAGTCTAATTTAAGATCTGAGGATCAGCTGGTGGATTCAAACTACCAACCCTTTTGTTAGCAGTCCAGTACATAACTCATTATACCAGCTGGGCTTAGAGATTTAAGTTGGAGTCAGAAGAAATAGTGATACAAGGGGTATCAGTGCTGATGGCAGATGGATCTTGGCTGACAGCAAAGAATACCAGAAAGATGTTTCCTAGTGTGTCAAAGACTATGTAAACGCATTTGACTGTATGGATCACAACAAATTGTGGCTGACACTGAGAAGAATGGGAATCTCAGAATACCCAGACCAAGAAGCAGCTGTCTGAATGGAACAAGGAAACACACTGCACGGTTTAAAATCAGGAAAGGTGTGAGTCAGGGTGGCATCCTTTTTCTCCATACCTATTTAGCCTATATGCTGAGTAAATACTTAGAGAAACTGAACTATATGAGTAAGAGTGTGACAGTAGGATTGAAGGAAGAGTTAATCACAACCTGCGTTATGCAGATAGCACAAACTTGCTTACAGAAAGTGAAGACAACTTGAAACACTTACTGTAGAAGATCAAAGACTACAGTCATCATGGAGTACATCTCAACATAAAAAAAAATTCTAGAGCAATAGTTAACCTCATGATAGATGGAAAAAAGATTGAAGTTGTCAGTGATTTAACTTTGCTTGGATCCACAACCAAAATCCATGATAGCAGCAGTCAAGAAATCAGAAGACATGTTGCATTGGGAAAATGTGCTGTCAAAGACTTCTGTGCTAAAGAGCAATGATTTCAGTTTAATCACTAAGGTGTGCCTCATCTAAGTTTCAGTATTTTCAGTTGCTTCCTATGTATCTGAAAGTTGGGGAAGGAATAAAGTTGACAAAGGCTAGATGCCTTTGAATTGTGGTGTTGGTGAAGAGTGTGAATATCTCATGGACTCCTAAAAGAACAAGCAAATCTGGTTTGCAAGAAGTACAGCCAGGGCGGGTGATCCGTAGAGGCCAGGATGGTGAAACACCTCTCGCATACTCTGCATGCTGTCAGGAGGGGTTAGTCCATGCTGGGTAAGGTGGAGGGTCAGAGGAAAAGGAAGACTCTCACCAGGCTGGATTGGCACAGTGACTGTAACAATGGGTTCATGCTTGTAGAGACTGTGAGGACAGTCCAGGAAAGGGCAGGGTTTTGATCTGGTACTCACAGGGTTGCTAAGAGTCACAGTCGACTCAAAAGCACATAGTAACAACAATGTTAAGCCCTCTCAATCACGCTCCAGGTTAGGGCTTGGGAATGGGCACTTAGCGAGCACGCAAGAAGAACTGATGCTCAGAGCAGAGGAGCCCTCGTTCTGGATCCAGATCAACATTCCACTAGTTTGTCCTCCTATCTTGATTCTCCCCGTCAGCCCAGCCTGTCTTTTCACAATGCTGGCACAGCTGTCATTCTGAACTGCACTCCGGAGCAGGCTCCAGCACCCCCTGTGACTCTCTGTGGCCTCTATCAAGCCTTAGCTAATGTCCTCACAATCTATTCCTACACACCTCTGCAGCTTCATCTCCCAACTCCCTTCTCAGTCTTTTCTGAACATCTGCCCCAGCCAAACCCCATGCACAAGCAAACTTCCTCATGCCACCCTCCCCCTGGAGTGACCTCCTGTCATGCCGTCTCTGCCGGGATGGTTTTCCCACCTCTCATATAAACTACACACCCTGCCATGGTTTGTAGTTATGCATGGACATGTCTGGATGGTCCCTAAGCTCTTAGGGGCAGAGCCAATGTCATATTAATGCTTTTCTTGTTGCTTTAAATCCCAATCAGCCCATGCTTGTGTTGTGAAGATTCTGTCATAAATCAAGAGTATTAAGCAATGACAGGTACTCAGGGAGCTTTCTCTAATCTTTAAATTGTTTATCATCACCCTGCTTTGAGGAAGACGAGGTAAATTTAGGGTAGGATCCAAGAAGTGAAGCAAATTGACTTGTCCAAGGTCAAAGGTGAGATATGCAAACAAGCAAGTTGGTCAGTTCTTCTCCAGGGACTACCCCCTCCCCCAAGTTTAGCCAGGAACAGTGATGTCAAGAGAAGCTGCAGGATCGAGGATCCTGACTGAGCATCAGGGACCTGGCCACTGGGCATGGGTTGCCCGGAGCAGCAAGGACCTTGGGCAAGGGTATCCCCTCTATGGGTCTCGGCTCTTCCCTCTGTCAAATGAGAAGGGCGGGCTGGTGATCAGAAGCAGGGGTGGATCCTGTGCTCTAAGTGCTGTCCTAGCCCTAAGTCGGGGAGCTCTGGTGGCCTAATCAGTAAGAAATTATGCTGTTAACCCAAAGGCAGGCAGTTCTGAGCCACCAGCTGAAAGATAGACAATCTCCTCCCATGCAGTTTACAGCCTCTGAGAATCCGCTGGAGGGCCAGCTATGGGTTCTGACTCAGGGGTAATGAGTTTGTATTTTGAGAGTTCTAAGGGAGAAAGCAGTCTGAGTCCAGGGATTATAACTAATATGAGATGTGACCACGGTCAAAGGCAGAGAGGGTTTTGGCTGTCCTGGATGAGCAGGACCTAAGGGAGGGGTCCTTGATAATCAAGTGGAAAGATCCAGGTGAAGGGGTGTGGGTGGGTGTGTGACACAGACTCACACGAGGTGTGTTTGTTGGCAATGTCATTAGGTGCTGTCTGGTTGGTTCCAATGAACACTGGAATGGAACGGCCCAGTCCTGCCCATCCTCATCAGCATGGCCGTGTCTGAGCCCACTGTGACCACCCCGTGTCCATGAATCTCACTGAAGGTCTTTCTCTTTTTCAATGACCCGTTCCTTTACCAATCAAGATTTCTTTCTTCAGGGCCTGGCCCCTCCTGAGAACGTGTCCAAAGTGCACGCAAGGAAGTTCTGCCAGCCTTGCTTCCAAGGCCAGTTCTGACGGAACTCTTCCAAGACAGGTTTGCTGGTTCTTCTTGCAGTCCGTGACAGCGTCACGATATTTTTGTGAACAACTAATTCAAAGCATGAGTTATTTTTCTGTCCAGCTTAGGTAATCAAAAGTGCCTTGACTTGGGTCAGGTGTCCCCTGGCTTAGGAGGGGTAGTTTTTCTTTTTTAACATTTTAAAGAGATCTTTTGCAGCAGATTAGCCTCTGTAAAAAATAGGGGTTGTTGTTATTATGTGCCATTGAGTCACTTGCGACCCAAAGCAACCCTATGTACAGCAGCTCCGAACCCTGCCCTGTCCTGAGCCAGTCTTACTGACTCCGACACACCCTCCCTCATTACTCCAGTTACTGTATCAATCCATGTCATCTGGGGTCTTCCTCTCCTGTGCTGTCCCTTCACCCTTCCAAGCATGATGTCCTTCTCCAAAGACCGGTCCTTCCTGGCCATGTGCCCAAAGTAGGTGAGAGAGAGCTTCAAAATGCTAGCCTCCAAGGAGAAACATGGTTTCACCTTGTTCACTCCATTACAGATCTATTTGTTTTCTTGGTGGTCCATGTAATGTTCAAGACTCTTCTCCAGCACCACAACTGAAAGGCATCAATTCTTCTTCTGTCAACCTTAGTTGTTGTCCTGCTCTCTGAAGCATAGCAAGCAATTTACAAAGACCATGGCCTGGATCAGGTGCACCTTAGTCTCTAGACTGACATAGTTATTCTTCAGTACTCTGGAAAGGACCATGACAGCAGATTTACCTAATGAAATTCATCTTCTGATTTCCTGACTGCTGGTGCCAAGAGTGTTGATTGTGGAGCCAAGCAAGCTATAACTATTAACAACTTCAATCTCTTCTCCATCTATCACGGTACTGCCAGTTGGCCCAGTGGGGAGAATCTTTAGGAGAAGGGTTCATTTTTGTTTTATCAGTTTAGGGAAGAGAAAGACATATCTTAAGCCCCATTCCCAAAGTCTTCTGCACTCTAGTTTCATGAATTTTTGAAACAAATAAGATGTTCAATCCCCCTTGGGAGGACGTGGAGGAGCCCACCACGGCTTTTTTTATTTTTAATTATTGGAAGAGGGAGGGGTGCACTCCTTTTCTTCTTCATGCCACCATGCTTTTCAAGGGTACTCTGGGGAGCCGGGTATCTGATGTCTACTAGGACACTTGACGTACTCACCAGAGCTTAAGAAAAGCTCAGGGAACACATTTTACCTGAGTAAATGCAATGTTGGGGTTGGGGAGGTAATGGAGTGCCTCCTTCCTTAGAGAAAGAAGGAAACAGCAAGTTGTCAGTCTAACCCAAGGTTTGGAACCTGCTGGAACCAGTTCGGTCATGACTGACCAAGTAAAAGCTGAAGAGATCTGAAGTGTTTTTAAATTTCAGTGAAGGAGGAGGATACCTGGGGTTGGGGAAAGCTCGAGGTCAAAGCCTGTAATGGAAGACTGAGAAGTGGTGTAATGAGGCCCCGCAGGAGCCTCATGTGAGAGACAGGTGATTGCAGGGCTGTGGGGAGCGACCCACGTCCACAGCACAGCATCATGGTCGCCTGCCCTTTTTGAGGAACACCAAAATCTGTCCATCAAGAGTTCAACTCCAGGAGGTAAAGAGCATATTGCATAATATCAGTTAATCTGCAATATTTTCCCCTTCTGGCTGTTTTTCTGATTCACCTACATTTTACAAATGGGGGTCCTTTCTGGTTTTCCATTGTGAGTCTTGGTGGAACCAGGAGCAACAGATTCAAAGGCCTGGTCTGAACAAGGCAGGGGCAGGGTTCCCAGAGGCACAAGGAGACAAGAATAGCCCAGGCAAGTAGAAAGAACCGTGAAGTCCCAAGGGCTTGTTGGCTGAGGGGTTGAATTCTGACTGATTGAATTCAGCCGCACCCCATTCTCAGAAGGCCCTGCCCTTCTCTTTGTTCAGAAGGTAAGTCTGGTAGAACCTAGGGCTGGGAAACACAGTCCTGCCTCTGATTAGCCCGACAAGTCAGGCAAAGCTTAGTCTCTGAACCTCAGTAACCCTTTGGCAAGAAGTCGTCCCTAATCCTAGTCCTGCCACAATCAGAAGACCCAAGGACAAATATGAGCACACAGGCATGAAAGGCTGATCTAAACCCTTGGCATGCAGTCAGCCGGCCCAGCTCTGCTTAGAGATGTGGGCTCAGCAACCACCTCTGAAGGACTCTGTAGGTGGAAGCGAGTCCCTGAGACCCTGGGGTGATCTGCATCAACCAAAGGGATGGGAAGACCACTTTAAGGCAGCAGAGCCAGGGACAGCCTGGGTCCCGCCCAGACCTTTGTACCTGGGGTTGATCTCATCCTTCACAAGGGTGAGATAGTCATGCATCTTGTGCCAGAGGGTGGGCTTGGGCAGGGTGCCGTTGGCATGGATGGCGTGGATCTTTGCCATTTCTAAGGCGATTAACCTAGAGCAGAAACAGCAAGAAGAGCGTATCAGTGCTAGGGCATGCCCTCCACAGCCCAGCCTCTCCTGGCCAGAAAGGAGCCCTACAAGGTCCACTGGGGGACCAGCCAGAGGACTGTGGTTGAGCTGCCTTTAGTAGCACCCAAGTCCTGCAGGAGGCTGGTGTCCGCAGAAAGCAGGTAAATGAAACAAGACCTTTAACCCCTTTCCAGAACCAGCGCTGGGGCTGCTCCAAGGTGCAAGCAGAAGAGCAAAGTGTCAGGTTGTTGGCTACCGGTCAATGAACTGCTCCACCCCAAGGCTGTATATCCACAGCAACTCCTGGGAACAGGGGCCACCTGAGGATGGGGGCAGGTTCCCTCCTCCTCCTGGATTCTGCCCCATCCTTTAGTGGGAGGGAATGTGAAAGCAGGACACCTCCCACCAAAGGATCCAGCATGGTGATCCCAGGCAGGGAAGAAATGCCTGCCTCTTATCAGGCTGGCCAAGGTGGAGAGGGAGACAGGCTGGCCTGGGGCAGCCCCTTCCTCAGCTGCGGGGAGTTGATAACCGCGGCTGAGTGCCAAGGACGCAAAACAAACCAGCGTTCTATTTTCAAGTTCTCCAGTGGACATTCTCCAAGGTCCTGGGAGAGAAGGAAGGGGGCGGTGGGGAGGGGAAAAAGCCTGGCTAGAGATGACTGCTGGAGAGGAGGTGGGGGAGGATGGACGCCTGATGTGTCAGGAGGGAGGGAGCAGATAAGGCTGCCATCATTCTAGACCCACTGAGCCTGAGGGGCTCACCCCATCCTCTGCCAGCCCTCGCTTCTTGCGCTCCGCCCCCACCAGCCTGCCAAGCCTCCAACATCCAAGCTTCCTTTGCCTCTGCCTGTTGCTCGAATAATAATCACTGGGAAAGACAACAAAGGCCCTGGCTGTTTGAAACCTTGTTCCTGAGCTGTTCCAGTGACACTCCCTCCCCTGGCCAGGCCCTGGAAAGGGGCAGGTCGTGCCACAAGGGGACAGCAGGACAGTTTCTTCACTGCTCCCTAAGTCCCCAAGGCCCTCACCCCCAAGAGGGTGGAAGGATGGGGGTGTGTCAGCAAGGGGATGAGTGAGAGAAGAGAACTGTGTCTGCAGAGGCCAGAGGCCCTGGGGCAGGAGGGAGCAGCCAGGATTTGGGCAAAGCATCGGAACAGACCCAAAGCCCAGGCCTTGCCTTCCAGAAGGAAGGAATTGAAGGAAGGAAGATTCGGAGAGAGAGCTCCAGAGCTTCAACAGCGCCTTTTCTTGAATATCAATAGGGCTGTTGTCTGGAATAGCAATGAAAGTAACCTCAACACTCAGCATTTTACACTGCAAAGCTTCAGTGGAAGAGGATGGGGGTGGGGTTCAGGAGCCCCAGGAGGGTGGCTCTCTAGGCGTTCCTGTTCCTTTACCCCAAGATCCACCTTCACCGGAGACAGCACTGTCTACCCTGGGAAAATCAAGGGCCCACCTCCTACACGGATCCCAATTTCTGGCCCTCTCCTAAATGCACAGTTCTACTTATTATCAGATCTAAATCCACCTTCAATCTTCCTGCCAGGGGCGACTGTTTCTATGAGAGCATGAGTGGCCACATCAGATCCAAGCTCTGGCAGGCACTGTGGGAGACAGGGGCTGGTGAGCTGCTCGGCACCCAGCTGAGGAAAGCCGGGTGGCGGGTGAAGAAGCCAGCACAGGGATCTCCCCTTCAAACCTTCTCTGACCTCACCTTCCAGCCTGGGGTCTTTGGAGCCACTCAGCTGGAGCCTGAGCTGCCTCTTGCCTAGGATTGTACAGTCCCCTCTCCTCAGACACATACAAAGTCAGTGGGGTTCTTGCAGCCCCAGAGACAGTGCTCCGAGAGCTTTGGAAGCTGTCAAGCCTCCCCTCCGAGTTCATGGAGGACGGCATGAGGCAGAGAGGAGGGCCGGGGTGATGTGCAAATAGAACCAGGCTTGAAGTTCACCCTCTAAATCCCAAAACCTACTGCTGTCAGGTGGGTCCTGGGTCATGAAGGACGACCCTATGAATTACAGAGCACAACTGTTCCACAGGATGCTCCTTCCTTTCCATGGAAGCAGATCACCAGGACTGCTGGACAGGCCCAAACTGGCTGAGCACAAACAGCTTATGTCTCCTAGGAACCTGGATTTCCACCAAGAGCTGGTTTGTTTACCCTTAATATACAAGGGTCTCCCTTCCCTTGGGTCAGACAGGACAGACTCCACTGTCCTAGCTGCTGTTCTTGCTGCTTGTGGAGCTTCAGGAAGCCCTGGCCCCATGATAGCTGGAAGGGTTGTGCCTGGAGGTAGGAAGGAAGACAATGCCCAACATCCCTGCCTCAGCAAATCAGGGGAGAGTATATGAGGGGCCCTTCTTTGGGTCACCCCTTCCTGACTCGACAGTGGTGTCCACAGAGTTTGCAGGTTATGTACAGTTCCTGGGACATATGTATCTATCTAGACATTTAGTGGGAGTGACCTCCAGAAGGCCAGGGTTTCCTTGGTGGGAACCCACCTGGCAGCTCCCCTAAACCTTGGCTCCCACCATGTCAGGATGCCCAGAAGGCACTCAGACAGGGAGGAGGGGTGGGCAGAAGGGATGGAATCTCCCAGGATGGGGGGATCTGCATCATCCTGGTAGAACAGGGCCCACTCTGCTTGCATCCTCAAGTTCTTGGCTGAAGCAGGGGAGGGACAGGGAACCCTGAGCACCTGAGGGATTGGGCTCAGATTTCCTTTCTAAGGCTCTGGGAGGTTTCCAGGTCAGGCCTGGAGTGGGCAGAGCCGGAGGCATGAGGCCAGGAAGTAGGTCCCTGCAGCTAATCCTGCAGGAACCAGATCCTCTGGTCTCCTGTTCACTAAAATTGTCACTTTCCTTCCCCAGAGCACATCCTTCTAGAAGAGGCCCCTGAAAGTCCATAGACGGCTGTGTCTTTGCTGCAGAGCAATGCACAGACACGCACCAGTTTTCCATGCAATTGCAGGGAGCTTAAGGATCTGAGGGCTCTCAACTGTGGACCCGCTCTACACCCAGGGAGATCGCCAAACCGCAGGCCCAAGCGGGCGTGGAGAAGAACAGTACTCGGGGTACCCTCTCACCTGAAGAGCCGAGGCTCCCCGATGTGCTCGGGTCCCAAGGCCATGCCTGGCATGTACTCGTAGCACAGCCCATTCTGAAAGGTGCAGTAGAGTTTGGGGGCACAGCCATGTTCTTGAAGCAACTGGAAGCTCCTGACTTCATTCTGCCGATCCACCAGCAGCTCCGTCCGCTCCCCGTATACCCGGACAAGCACGCAGTCCTGCATGTCTTCATCCACGTAACAGGCCACCAGTTTGTTGGTCATGCCATCGGTGAAGCGCTAGCAAGGGGATAGGGCAACGTGTGGGTGGACACAGGGTCCCTCTGACCTCCCGCCTCATCCCAGCACCACAGGCCACACAAAACCCCTAATCCTTCAGGTCTTCCACATAATCAAAAGCTCAGCACTGTTTCTAAGCTCTGCCCAGTCACCAACACTTTGAGTAGACTACAGGGTTCAGGGAGAACTCTGATGACTTAGTGGTAAAGGATGGCGCACTCAATCCAAAGGCATGTGGTTCGAATCCACTAGCTGTTCTGTGGGAGAAAGATGGGTAAGCTCCTTCCATGCAATTTACTGCCTCTGAAAACTGATGTAGGGTCAGCTATGAGTCGGTTCCGACCCATAGCTGACCCTCTGGTGGGTTTTCAGAGACAGTTAATTGTCCAGGAGGAGTATCTATCCTGCAGAGAAGCTAGTGGATTCAAACTCATGACTTTGGATGGCAGCTCAGATTCTTACCACTAGGCCACCAGAGCTCCACACAATATAGAGTTAAAAAAAGATATTCTAACTTGGTCCCAGCCCTTAATAAATACAGTCAAGGCTCCTAAGTCTGTCCTTAAGCCAAGAAACCAAACCTGTTGCTGACAAGCTGATTCTGACTCATAGCGACTTTATGGTACAGCAAAGAACTACCTCACAGTGTTTTCAAGATTCAGCCATATCCTTCTACAAGGCAGTTGGTGGGTTTGAACCACCAACCTTCTGATTAGCAGCCAAGCACTTACCACTGTGCCCCTAGGGCTCCCAGTCTCTCTCTACCCTACTGGATGGGACTTGGCAGTGGAAGAATAGCTACTCTACTTGGTGGGTCAATGGATTCCCCTCTCTCTCCCTTCTCCCTATCTTTCAAAGAACCCCTCCTCCACCAGAATGTCGGAGAAGATAGGCAGTTACCCAGAACAAGTATATTTCCACCTAGCTGCTTCTTACTGTGTGCTAGCAGAGGGCTTTCAGCTGTACCTCTTACTCCATCCAGTAATAATGGTAAAAGCAGAGTACCTAAGTTGGCACATATCCCAGAGCTCTGGGGATCAGAGAGTCTGAGAACCTCCAGAGTTCCGTATCAGAAGAGACAAGGAAACACTGGGAGAGCAAGTTCTCTGGGTAAGATGACAAAGAATAAACCATGGAATTTTCAGGGCACAGTGTGGAAAGCTGAAAAGGATTTGATAGGACATCTGTATCAATTCAGGATGGGGAAACTGAGGGTCAGAAAGTGGGTAACATTGGCAGACGACATGTTAGGTCAGTGCTGGAATCATTCCAAGCAGATCTGAGGCCTTGGCCATCTTACTAAAACTGGGCCTTTCATTTAGCAAATTCTACCCATCTCCTCACTATCTCAAACCACCATCAAGGAGCCAGCCTCTGAGCCTCCCTCACACCTTGACTTACCGTACCTAGAATGCTCATCATTGCCAGGGCCTTGGAGGCCCTACCAATCTCCAGCACATGCTTCAAGCACTGAATGGATTAACACTCCCACTCAGGGCACCTTCCTCCACAGGCAGCACCCAGACCACAGGCAGCACCCAGAGTGGGGCCCGGGTGGTGGGCAGATAGATGCAGGTTTCTTTTCAGAGAAGGCTGGTAGGCTGGGGAGTCAGCCTGGGGCTTCTCACTGAATTGCTCTGCCCACATCTGTGTCCCAGGGGATTCGCCAGTGGGGAAGGATCCTGCCCTGAAGGCAAGGCAGGGGCTCCGTGCTGGCGGGAATCCCACAGGGTGGTCCTCTGGCCGGCTTCTAGGGGAGCTCTGGATTTGGAGTCTTTGCTCCCTCTACGAATGGAGAAAGAGCAGTAGCGTGAATGGAGGGGTCCTCTCCAAAGTTACTGCCTCCTCACGTTTCAGAACTGACTGGGGATATACTTGTAGGCATGGAGGGGCACCAGCACGCAGCGACAGGGGGTGGGGCCCGCACGTGCAGCATGCTGCCACTGGGCAGGTGGCCTTTCCAGCGTGCCTGCGAGCCCCAGCAAAAGGGCGCTGTGTATGGGGAGGCGATGGACGTGCGAGCCAAGCCTTGCTCTGGGACCCAAATAGATGGGGAAACACGCGCGCGCACACACACACACACACAATCAACCACCGCTGCAAGCCTCTGCTGCGCAGGAGCCGCGGAGCCCGGGGCTGGTCACCGGAAGGATGAACTGGCAGACGTCCAAGGCATCCCCGGTGCAGCCCCGGCAAGGGCCCCAGCCCTAGCCCCGCGCCTGCCCTCCGTTACCTTGGTCTGAACTTGCTCGGGTTTCCAGTGCGGCCGCAGCTCCTGGATGAGGCGCAGGGCACCGGGCAGGATGTCGTCCTGATCCACTGATATGCAGAAGTACTGGACGGCCACGGCCCTCGGGGGACCCGCTGACTCCCGGCAGCCCACACCGGCCACCGCCTTCTCCTCCATGCCCCATGAGCACTGCGGGCACGGCGTCTGCCTGCTCAGGTAAAAGGGCGAGCAGGGCAGGGGAGCAGCAGGGGGAGCAGCCATTGGCAGCGCCCCGCCCCCTCGGAGCCGCCGTCGAGCGCTAGCCCCGGCGGGGGGGCCCGGCGGCGGGGCGGTGGGAGGGG